GTTTATTGCCATTTCTTTTGCCTTCTTAAATTACTTAATTTCCTTCCTATCCCCCTGCCCCAGAAATGTAGCATACTAGAAGAAAACAGGTTCTCTACAGAGGCAGACTTTTTTTTAACTTTATTTTGTATTTGTTTTGTCTTGTTTATCAGAGTCTCACTCTGTACCCAGGAGTGACCTTGAACTCAGTAGCGCCCCTGACTTAGTGGTGCTGAACTTGCACGCCCAGCTCACACTTGGATCTTGACCAACTGGAGGATTATCTAGTCTTTGAGCCTCTGTCTGTGGAGCAGGAATGGAGGTGGTCATTGTGGGGTGCAGTGCTAGCACAGGGTCTGCCTCGTGAGCGATTCTTAGAAACCGGCAGGCGCTGCTGTTTGCTCTCCGCTTTATACTTCACCTTTCCACAGTCTTCAGTGTTTCTCAGCTCGCCACTGCCTCATCCTTCTCCCTTCCCCTCCCCCTTTCCACTCTTCCTCTCTTTGTATATAAATCTAATTTTTAAAATATCTTTGGTCCTCTCTCATATTGAAGGCCAGTATCCAAATTGCAGTTTCGTTCTAATAGCAAAATTCAGAAATAACTAATAATATCCATCAATTTCTCTTTGCAGTGGATTGCTTGCTGAACAACATCCCAAACTTTTGTTTGACCTGATGCCCATCATATGGATAAAACCAAGTAAATACGTAACAGAATATGTTAGAGTTTTACAGAGAATAATTATTCCCCTGAATAACTTTTTGCTGAAACCTTTTATGCTTTAATTCATTTGTTATTTATATAAGATGGAATATCTGTGCTGTAAATATTTTGGGGCAGTTATATTATCTTGGGACCATTGCTCTGCTTCTTTATGCTAGTAGCCTACATAAGATAGAGGTTTAAGAGCTGGAGAGATGGCTCAGCAGTAGAGCGCTTGCTGTCCTTCCAGAGGGCAGAAGTTCAGTTCCCAGCCCCCACATCTGCCATCTGGTAACTATAGCCCCAGGGGATCTTGTGGTACCTCCAGCTCCCGGTGATTTGACACTCTGTTCTGGCCTCAGCAGGCACCAGCTCACACATGGCACATACACACAGACACACACACACAGAGTATATAAATTAGAAAATAACCATCTTTTTAAGGTACCATTTTGTTTATTCCATCCTCACACTTCTGTGATGAATCTCACGGTGTGACAGCCCTCTTTCTCCTTCCCACACTTTGGCTGAGTGCCTTTGCTAAGTGTACGTAGTACAAAGGCTTGATGCAGACTGTGCTAGCGCCCAGCATTTTCTGGCTGTAAGAGGCCCATAGGCCTTGGAGCCAACCAGGAGATGGGATAGAGGTCACCTTTACCCCTTAGGGGATGCACTTGCTCTTTCTACCATCATTATTTTTTTCTAAAAGCAAACTAAACAATAACAATGAGACTCATTCATTTTTCTAATTTTTTAAAAATTATTTTTAGTTTCACTCTTTTGAAGTGCTTATGATCAAACCTAGGGCCTCACACTTATTAGACAAGTGTTCTAAAACTGAGTTACACCCCTAGCCCCAGTTTCTTAGCCTTAAATACAGTAGATGAACATATTCACAAATTATCTACACTCTCCACCCAACCTATTGAATATTAATGTGATTCAACTATGCAAGGGTGGCTTTCGTTTAGAAAAACCCTTCTAAGAATTGTACTTCGATTATTTTTTTGAGTTTGGACAAGTTGGTATATTTTACCTATTTAGTAACCTGCTAAAAACAAGCGGGAAATTCAGCTTCGTCTAATTGGCACGTTAAGGCAGGCTGGCAGGTAAAGCCAGCTTCACACCTTCAGGGATACCTTACTTCTTGGCATTTGCTTCATTTGTCATTCCAAATGTCAAGTGCAGTGCTAAGGAGTTGTATTAGAGCTGTAGGCAGTTCCTCCACCACACTCACTATAATTGACTTCTTCCCCATCCTGTCCTTTCCTCCTTCAGCCCACATCCTCCAGAGATTTTTCATGCCTTCCCATAGATCAAAACTGTTTTGTAAGATTTCTTTTTACGGAGCTGAAGAGATAGCTCAGCATTAAGAACACTTGCTTCTCTTCTGGAGGACCCAAGTTGCCTTCCCAGCACCCTTGTCGGATGGCTCACAAGTGCCTGTAACTCCATATCCAGGGGATCCAGTGTCCTCTCTGGACTCTGGAGAGTTGAATTCAGGTTCATATACTCTCATACCCACACAAAAATACACACATGTATACACATAATTATTTTAAAGAGTTTAATTATTAATTGGTTTGTCTGTATATGCTACGTGTGTGCAGGTGCCTGTGGGAGTCAGAAAAGGACATTAGATAGCCTATATCTAGAGTTACAAAAGGTTGTGAGCTGTCAGATGTAGGCTCTGGGTCCTCTGGAACCGCAGCCAGTGCTCTTAACTACTAAGCCTTCTCTCCAGTCCCATAAGCGCAAAACCTCATAATCAACTCTTGATGTCTAGACCTAGACTCATGAAGCGTGTGAAAGTGCTTGCCTTGATATACCGACTGTTAAAACATCTCCATCTTTCAAATATCATACTCTAAATCTTGGCCATTCTACTACAAAGTAAATAACTGTTCTTTTAGAAACAATCGCTGTTTCCTCTTTCTTCAATGGAAATCTCTCTCTTTTCTTTTTCAAGATGAAAAATCTAAGATCGTGAGGTCAAACGCTTATATCTGCCCTCTCTACAAGACCAGCGAACGGAAAGGAACTCTTTCCACTACAGGACATTCCACCAACTTTGTCATTGCAATGCTGCTAAAAACGGACCAGCCCGTCCAGCACTGGATCAAGCGTGGTGTGGCGATGCTCTGTCAGCTGGATAACTAAACCGAACAAATTTAGAAAACATCTGATAACTTTTTAATCTTCGCTTATAAAAACATTCTCAAACTGAGCGTGGCGGCGTCCTTCCTTGTACGGGTCTTTTCTTCCTAGCTGCCTGACACCATTGCGCATGAGCATTTTAAATACTTAAAAGCACCGTGAAGAAAATATTAAGGCAAAGGCCATAATATTTATTATTAAGAAATTATTCCAATATCTCAAAGTACTCTTGTGACTAACAAGGAAGCGAAGGTGGGACTATAAAGCTGGCCGGTGGTCAGTGCCGGTTTCCATGGCTGCAGCAACATTGCATTTCATTTTTCATTGGAAATAGCAAGTGTTCCCTTTATTTTAATTTTTTGTTCTATTTTATTACTAGAATTGTACTATTAGTCTATGCAGTGTAATGTGGAGAGCGAGCGAGAGAGAGAGTTGGGAGGGGCATGCGTGCCACAGTGCCTGTGTTGAGGATCAGAGAATAATTGTGGGGAGTTAGGATCTACTTCCGCCTTGGGATCTAGAAAATAGAGTTCAGGTCATCGGGCTTGCATACTCAGCACCTTTACCCTCCAAGCCATCTTGCTGACTCTGTCTCCCCTTTGTTATTTGTAATACTTAATATTCTTATTACTTAGTGTGCATTGATAATATTAATATACACTATGGATTTATAGATACTTCAACAAAACAAGAATTTAATCAAAATTGCATTTTGTTGTGGGAGTGGGGAGATCACTCAGTTGGTAAAGTGCTTGCCATTCAGGCACGAGAACCTGAGTTCAGTGCCCAGAACCCAAGTACAGAATCTAGATGTGGTAGCTGGAGAGAAGACTCAGCAGTTAAAATATCACAGCGCTCCTGCGGACAAGCTGAGATCAGTTCCCAGCACCCGAGTCAGGTGGCCCCAGGGGATCCAGCACCCTCCCCTTGCCTGTGAAGGCACTGCGCTCATGTGCAGATGCCCACACATAGATGAACACACATACACATCATTTTTGAAATTTTCAAGTTCTTAAAAAGCTGACACCTACAAAGGGCATGAGCCAGCAAGTGTCCCTCGAGCTGCATCCCAGGAACCTGCACAGGTGCAGGAGAGTCTCCCCAGTTTCAGCAACCACTAGTTTTATAATTTTTTTCCTGGTTTTTTGCTGTTTGGATAATATGAATTAAAAGAAGAAATATGAATACCGCATGGAGATTGCCCCAACCAACGAAATCTGAAATATATAGTAAATGCTCTTTTTCCTTTGTTGTTCATTTTGGATGCTGGTGACTTAAGATGAAATTTTATGCCCTTATTTATTCCTAGGATGACGGGAGAATTTGCTTTCTTACATAACTCTCTCTGAAGTGTGCAGTAACAAGTTCCTCAAAATACAATGTTTACCTTCAAAGGAAAAAAAAGAGAGAAGAAGCTGAACATAGTGGCAGGCACTTTGTAATTCCAGGGCTGAGAATGTAGAGACAGGCAGATCCCTGAAACTCACTGTCCAGCCTGCCTAGTTAGCAAACCCTACGTCTCAGTCAAAAGAGATTGTCTCAAAAACAAGAAAATAGCTGGAAAGATGGCCCAGCGGTTGAGAGTGTTTGCTGCTCCTGCAGAGGAACTGGGCTCGGTTCTCAGCCCCACATCAGGTGGCTCACAACTACCTGCAATTCCAGTTCTAGGGGAGCCAACAACCTCTTTTGGCCTCCAAGGGCACCTACACACAGAGGGACACAGACATACATGCAGGTACACACATACACATAAAATAAAAATCTTATAAAAAGATGGATGGTTTCTGAGGAGTAATACCCCTAGGTTGACCTCTGCCTGAACACATGTACACATGTGTGCAATACCTGAACACACACAAAAATTTAAAAATAACTTCTGTAATGTCATCCCTTTCTTGGGGTTCCAAGGGTGCTTAAGGCTACAGTTCTACAGTTCAGGGAACACGCAGGTGTGACCACACAGTGACTCTGTGGAGCAGTTATTCTTTGGTGGTGCTGGGGATTTAACCAGAGGTCTTGTGCATGCTGAGCAAGTCCTCTGCTACTGAGCTATAGCTGCAGCCCACGTTTTTACTTTCTATTTTGAGACAGGGTGCCACTGAGTTGCCCAGGCTAGCTGTGAACTCACTCTGTAGCCCACGCAGGCATTGGGCCTGGAATCTTCCTGCCTTAGCAGCTAGGGTTGCAGGCCAGCGCTAATAGGACCAGGAGTTACGTCACCTCTGATAATGCCATCAGAGCAAAACTGCCGCCTCCTCCTAAGTGAGAAATTCTGGTCTCCAGTGGCAAAATGATTTTTTTTCATGGCCAACCCCCTGAAAATATTTTATATCTGCCAAATTGGATGAAATCTTTTAAATCGGATGAATCTAGCAATGAAGAAAAGAGGTCATGTTTCGAGGCAGCACAAACCCACATGTGAAAAACAAGACTGTCTTATGATCAAGTATTTATAGTAAAGCTATTTATAATGCTCACCAGAGGGGAGTGGAGCTTCAGATGCACCTGCCACAGGAAGCCGGAGACGTTCTGGGGATAAGCAAAAGGTAAAATCAGTCTTTAGAGCCTGTTCTATACTAAAATGGCAATGTTCTTTTCAAACCATGAAGATACGCCTAGTATGCTGGCTTCTTCTCGCTGCTGCTATTTCTAGTCTCTGTGATATGTTTACTCCCATGGTGTGCTCACTTTCACTTTACCACATACAGTAGTATTAGCACGACATACTCTGTGTATACGGAAGATCTTTTGAGTGTTAGAATCACTTAGACGTGTTCTATCTAAAATAAGTTATTTTAATATAGCAAAAATTGCCTGGGCTTTTTTTAAACCCTTTCAAGTTTCATTTAATTATTTATTTACAAGTAGTTTTGTTTTTATTGTTGTTTTACCTTTTTTGCTTTGAATTTTGAAGTTAGCATGTAAATGGGTTTCGTTACGACATTTTCATACACACGTTATACTTTCCTCCTTCCTTTCCCTCGGTTTTGCCCTCCCTGCCTCTCTTGCCGAGCCCCTTCCTTGCCCATACAGTCCCCTTTTAACTTTCATATCATATGCTTTCATCATTCTTCTTTGGTCCCCTTCTCCCTCCTTTAAAACCACATCCTCCTCTGGTCCCTGGCTCCTGTCCTGTAGCGTATGTGTGGCAGAGAGGCGGGGCGATGTGGGGTGTACTCTCTATTGCTCTCCACCCATCTTTAATTTTTCCTTTATTCTTGACATTTTTGTGGGTGCATACAATGAAATATGATCATATATTGTCCCCCAACATGTCATCCTCCCAGCTTCTTGTCCTTTTGTTTTGTGGGATTTTTTTCCTTCTATAGCCCACTAAGTTCATATGTGTGTGGGTGGATGTGGTACCATCCCACAGACCGTGGAAACCCTGTCAGTAATCACACCCCCTTTTAAAAATGATTTTCACCCACCTAGGAGATAGCAACTGACAATGGTTGTGCCATAAGGGATGGGGTCAGAGATCATCTGCTCCATTTATGCCAGCATTTGAAGAGTCTGGTCTTGTACAGGTCTGCAGGTAACCGTGGCTGCTGTGAAGTCTTCAGTGTGACTGAGAGCTAGCCATCAGGGATGCGTATTACTGGTTGGTTTGAGGTTGATTTTTTTTCCTGCATCAAGGTTTTTAGACTCTTCAGCAGATGGGGAGAAGAGCTACAAATGACTTTCAGGCATGATACAGCTGCTGCACACACCAATGCACAGCAGCTGTGGTTATAGCACAGTGCCTACGTAAAATGAAGCCAGTCTAATGCTAGCATGGATGCAGGAGAGGCCCTGCAAGGCCCTGCATCTCACTGAGGAACCATTGACACTTGATAGCTGCTGAACGAGGGAAGGTCACTCTCTGTTGTCTGGGTTTCTGACCTGCCTGGTTCCCGCAGTCGTTAGGTCCTAAAGAAATCACACAGAGGTATATATTCATGGTAAACTGATTGGCCCGTTAGCTCAGGCTTCTTATTAACTCTTATAACATATATTAATCCATTATTCTTATCTATGGTAGCCACATGGCAATCATATCTTCCTTCTTCTGTGATTGGGACAGGACTGGGGAAGAATGGGCTTCCTCCTTCCCAGAATTCTCCTGTTCTCATTGACCCACCTCTACTTCCTGTCTGGTTGTTCCCACCTATACTTTCTGCCTGGCTACTGGCCAATCAGTGTTTATTTAAAACATAATCGACAGAGTATAGACAGTTATCCCATACCAACTCTGGGCAGCACTGATTGAACTCGGGGGGCTTTTGATAGCACTGAACTATCAGTTATTTTGAGTAAAGAAGGGTCACGGCAACATGACCTTTTTGGAGACTGCAGAGATATACTCCACCTTATTTTTTTGGTACCAGGCCTTTCACTAAATCCTGTGCTCACCAATTGTCTGAACTGGCTGACTAGGAAGTTCCAGATATCTACCTATGTGTAACCCTGTCCCCTCAGTGCTAGTCTTAGAAGTCTGTGCTGCTACACCCTCCTTTCCCATGAGTACTGGGATGCAAACTTAGGTCTTCATGTTTGTGTACGAACTGAGTCATCTCCAAAACAGTTTTAATTTGTATTTCCCTAATGGCTAAGGAGGTTGATGTTGAATACTGCTTTAGATATTTACTTGTCATTTTCTTTTGGTTGGTTTTTGTTTACTAAATAGTATCTTTATTTATTCTTTGAAATGTTCATGCATTAATACAAGCCATCTTAATGCCCATCCACTACTACTTCCCTCAAGCTCCTCCTAGACCCTCCCTCTCTGTACTCCCTCCCAGCTTCATGCTCTCTAGTTCAGTGCTATCAAAAGCTACCTGAGTCCAATCAGTGTTGTCCATTTCTGTACACCGGTGTGGGGCATCCCCTGGAGCATGACCAACCTACCAGAAGCCACTTCCTGAAAGAGAGTGACCTTCCCTCGCTCAGCAGCTATCAAGTGTTAATGGCTCCTCAGCGAGATGCAGGGCCTCGCAGGGCCTCTCCTGCATCCATGCTAGCATTAGACTGGCTTCATTTTACGTAGGCACTGTGCTATAACCACAGCTGCTGTGCATTGGTGTGTGCCGCAGCTGTATCATGCCTGAAAGTCATTTGCAGCTCTCCTCCCCATCTGCCAGTTCTTCTATCCTTTCTGTTCCTTCTTCCTCAGTGTGCCTTGAGATAGGGGTGCGGATATGTGAGTCACCCATGGCTGAGCACTCACAGTTACTGACACCCACAGTGAACCCATGCGTGGGTCTCTCTATTACCACTCATCGTAAACAGGAGCTTCTCCAGCAAGGATTAGAGCAGCATAAACTTATGGTATAAACCAGAGAAAGCAGTTTTTGGTAGTGTATCTATTTAGTAAAACAGCCATAGTAGTAGGCTCCCTCCACTGGCCTGTGATCCTCTCAAGCAGCATGACCAGGCAGATGGTACCAAGCATGAAATCCCTCCTGTGGAGCAGGCATCATGGTCAATCAGTAAGCGGTTAGTTCTCATACTACAGGAAACACTCTTCCTAAACATGCTGTTATTGTGGTATGTGGGATCCATACCACAATAAACCTGGGGAAGGCTCTTGGTGTCTTCTCTCCTCCAGAAGCCTGCCCAGCACCTTCTGGTACTATAGCATCTAGTTTACTGGTTTCATTTGAGAATTATCTCTACAGTTCCTTAGCACTCTTATGAGCTAGATCATTTGAGGATTTGGGTACTTATTTTTGCAGTTGTTTGAATATTTTAGATATTAATGTCTGGTGTATAGTTGGCAATGACTTATGATCTAAGTCTCATATGAAGGGAAGATTTTCTTGAATAAGTTTTAAATAAATGTCTATTTACGCCAGGCAATGGTGGTGCACACCTTTAATCCCAGCACTTGGGAGGCAAAGGTAGGCCGATCTCTGTGAGCTGGAGGCCAGCCTGGTCTACAGAGTGAGTTCCAGGACAACTAGGACTGTTACACTGAGAAATCGTGTCTCGAAAAACAAACAAACAAAAAATATCTATTTACAGAAACTTCTCATTTATATTGAATCTATGGCAGTCCAGAAAACTTTTAATTTCATAGGAAAATTTTTAATGAATATTTGTTTTCAAAATGTGCATTTTTCTCCATTTATCAATCCTATCAACTTTCTAGTTTTCTAGATGTCATTCCTATTTTTAAGCAGTTGGAAATCTTTTCACAACTAGAAAAGTATTTTATTTCATTCTGAGTCGAAAGTGAACCTCTCCGAGCCCCACATGGACTACTCCAGCAGTGATGAGGACACAGATGCTGATGTTGACACCCAGCTCATCATTCAGCAGAGCTTGCTGGATATTTACAAGCCAGGAGTAACTCAGCACACATCAGAAGACAAGAGGTAATGTCTGCCTCCTCGGCAATGAGTGTTAAAAAGGATCCAACAGTTGAGACTAGTCATGACCTTAATGCTACTGTGGCAAAACAGAAAGGAAGATTAGACAGAATACAGGGAGTTGTCCTTTGTAAAGATTGATTTATTTATTTTATATATATAGTATTCTGCCTGCATGTACATCTGCACATGTAGATAGAAGTTTCTGTCCCACCCAGTTCCAGACATTCAGTCCCAAATAAACACACAGATGCTTATAATTATAAACTATTTGGTCTATTGCTCAGGCTTATTACTAACTAGCTCTTACAACTTAAATTAAGCCATAATTCTTATCTATGTTTAGCCATGTAGCTTGGTACCTTTTCTCAATAAGGCTTTCTTATCTTGCTTCCTCTGCTTCTGGATGATGACTGCATCTTTCCTCTTCCCAGAATTCTCCTAGTCTGGTTACCCCACCTATACTTCCTGCCTGGTTACTGGCCAATCTGCTAATGTTTTTCATAAACCAATACAAATGACAAATCTTTACAGTGTACAAAAACATTATCCCACAGCATGTACACCAGAAGAGGGCACCCAGATCTTATTAGAGGTGGTTGCAAGTCACCATGTGGGTGTGAGGAATTGAACTCAGGACCTCTGGAAGAACAGTGAGTGCTCTTAACCTCTGAACCATCTCTCCAGCCCCAGGAGTTGTTGTCTTAGTCAGATTTCTATTGCTGTGAAGAGACACCATGATCATGGCAACCCTTGTAAAGCAAACATTTCATTTGAATGGATCGCTTACAGTTTCAGAGGTTCAGTTCATTATCATCATGGTGGGGAACATGACAGTAAGCATGCAGACATGATGAGGGAGGAATAGCTGGGAGTCCTACAGCTTACAAGCAACAAGAATTCAACTGACTGTCACAGCTAGTGAAGCTTGAGAAAAGAGACCTCAAAGCCCGCCCCCACAGTGACACACTTCCTCCAACAAGGCCACACCTCCTAATAGTGCCACGCCCTTTGGGAACCATTTTCTTTCAAGCCACCACAGTTGCCTATTTTTTTCAGTGGTGGATGGTTTTGAATCCAAGACCATGTGGATGCAAAGCATACACTACACTACTGAGCTACATTCCTAACAAATAACTGCAATTTAAGTATATATAAGATATGATGCCCAGATGCACAGAAAAAAATCTTGGAAAGGATTAAGAATTTAATAAGTAAAGAAAATAATTGAAGGAGGGTAACAGCACAGCTGGGTGAGAAGATGCATACTGGAAAGCAGAAAGAAGGGCCAGAGAAGACCATACAACGATTATCCTTAGGGAGTAGAAGGTACACAAGACACATAGAAAATTATCTCGGCGAGGTAGGTGAGGAGCCCAACCTTCATATACTCATATTCAGTGAGGGATTGTAACCTCAGAAGAGATTGATGCCTCCGGGCAAGGGGATTCAAGTTCTGTTGATGATATGGCAGAAAACAGCCACCAGGTCTCTAAATGGTGTCAGAATCACCCTCACCTTGGGTATGGACAGTTCACAGTCATACACAACTAGTTGTATGCTCTCTGATTGACAACATTGGCCACCTGAGATTGAAACCATTTTTTCCTCTGGGGTGATAAACTCAGATTGCTTGGCATGGCAACCTCTACTCATCTGTAAAGCAGGATATTTTTTAACCTCAAATGATATTACAATTAAATATGGAAATGAGGATTAAATCAAACCTATAGAAATTTTTAAAGATTTATTTTGTATTTTGGATGTATGTATGGTGTGATTTACGCATTTGAGTACAGGTGCCTGTGGAAGTCACAGGTGTCAGGTCCCCATGAGGCTGGAGTTATGGGTGGGTATAAACTGCCCAGTGTAGGTGCTGGGAACCAAAGTACCTGCTCTCAATCACTGAGCCATCCTCCAGTGTCCTAGAATATGTTCTAACTAACAAATTCAGGGGGTGATCACAGTATGCCATGAACTGTTCATGACTATTAACTCACTTAAACTTTAATTCTCACTACTTCTCTATGGGGAGGTGCTGTGATTTTTCTCATCTAGAAATGAGGAAACTGAGGCACAAAAAAGTAACTTTACTACTGAAGAGTCAGAAAGGCTCGCATGGTTTGTGCTTCCTGCCACACCACTATTCCTAGACACTGGTGTTGACTTTAGGATGGTGATTAAAATAAGATTTAAATACCTAACATTTTACAAAGAAAGAGAATTTATTAGGTTATCTTTTGTGTTCGTTTATTTTTATTGAACTATATAGTTTTCTCTGCTCTCCTCCCTCCCGCCTCCTCTTCAACCCTCTTCCATGATCCCCATGCTCCCAACTTACTCAGGAGATCTTGCCTTTTTCTACTTCCCATGTAGATTAGCTCCATGTATGTCTCCCTTAGGGTCCTCATCATTATCTAGGTTCTCTGGGATTGCGATTTGTAGGCTGGTTTTTCTTTGCTTTATGACTAAAAGACACTACTGAGTGAGTACATAATATATTTGCCTTTCTGGGTCTAGGTTACCTTATTCAATATGATGTTTTCTAGATCCATTCATTTGCCTGCAAATTTCAAGATATCATTTTTTCCCACTGTGTAGTACTCCATTGTGTAAATGTACCACATTTTCTTTATACATTCTTCAGCTTAGGGGCATTTAGGCCAACTTTCATATAGAAAAGCAAAAAACCCAGGATAGCCAAAAACAATCCTATACAATAAAGGAACTTCTGGAAGCATCACAATTCCTGACTTTATATTCTACTACAGTACTGAAAACAGCCTGGTATTGGCATAAAACAGACAGAAGAACCAATAGAACCAAATCAAAAAGCCAGATAGATATCAATCTACACACCTACAAAAACCAGATTTTTGACAAAGAAGCAAAAAATATCAAATGGAAAAAAGAAAACATATTCAACAAGTGGTGCTGGCATAACTGGATATCGACATGTAGGAGAATGAAAATAGACCCATAAATATCACCATGCACAAAATTCAAGTCCAAAAGGATCAAAGACCTCAACATAAAACCAACCACACTGAACCTCATAGAAGAGAAAGTGGGAAGTACACTTGAACGAATTGGCACAGGAGACCACTTCCTAAATATAAACCCAGTAGCACAGACACTGAGAGCATCAATTAATAAATGGGACCTCCTGGAACTAGAAGCCTCTGTAAAGCAAAGGACCAGGTCAACAAGACAAAATGGCAGCCTACAGAATGGGAAAAGATCTTCACTAACCCCACATCAGACAGAAGTTTGATCTCCAAAATACATAAAGAACTCAAGAAACTGAACATCAAAGGATCACATAGTCCAATAAAAAAATGGGGTACAGACCATTAGGTTGTCTTGTCATATCAGTCTTATGATTATGGTATTAAATCCATAACCAAGCAGTTGATTTTGAATTTATACTTTTTTAGTATAAAAGTATAAGAAATTTTGACTAAGTAAAAAAATGTTTCATGGAAATTAAATTATAGTCATTACATAAATTTTATTATTAAACCTCAAAACTTGTATGATACCCAGAGATTGTCGATTGGGCTAGGTTTTTGTTGGTGTTAAAAATCTAGAGTGGGAAAAAAAAAATCTAGAGTGGGGGATGGGTATGGTGTTTGCTGCACAAATATGAGGTCCTGAGTTCAGATACCCAGCACCCACATCAATACAAGACATGGTGGTGCACATCCGTAATGTCAGTGTTCAGGGAAGGCAGAGACATGTCGGCACGGCACCTAGAGCACATTGGCCAGCCAATAGCCCATCTGACTGAAAGGATGAGCGCCAGGTGAGAGACGTGGTAGAGAAGCAATGGAGAAAGGACCAGATGATGGCCTCTTCTCTTCTTGCACATGAATACACATGTGAACATGTAAACACGTGGACCACACATGCAAAGGAAAACAAGAATATTCTTGTGCTGTGTGGAGTAGTGGCCCACTTAAAAGTGCTTACTCCCTAATTCCTAGACTCTGAATGTGCAAACCTTATGTAATAAACTGCAGTAAAGTTAAATGGGATTAAGTATGCTAACCACCTAGTGTAGGTGACCTGGGCAGGCCCAGTGTAATCACAAGGACCCTAGGCGGAGGCAGGAAAAGGAAAAAACCTAAAGGTGTCATGGAAGGTAGGGCTGCACCCAATCAAGGACCTGGAGGAAGAAGGAATGGGTCCACAGACCAAAAACCACATGATGGCTCTAGAAGCTGTAAAAGACAAGAAAACAGAACCTTAACTAGAACCTTCAGGAGAAGCCAGATCTGTCCAGAGTCCAGAATCAAAGAACTGTAAAGGAACGGATTTGTGCTGATTAAAGTCAGTAACAGTGTAGTACTTTCTTACAGAAAAAAACTAACACATCAGTCAACCCATAAGCACAGTTTTAAATGTTAAAGGAAAGCAACTGACCACATTGTGAACAGGACAAAGGGTCAAAGAAATTTCATTCTATCCAACCTAGACTCCTTGAGTAATTGGAGAGAGTAATTTAGGATGCATATATTGATTCCAGGCACAGGGGTGCATGCCTACAATTCCTGCAGAGTCGGAACAAGGCAGGGATCTGAAGCAGCCCTGGGCTACGCAGTGAGATCCTGTCTCAAATTTTAAAAATTCATATACAATGCTTTGATGTTTAGGTATTTTCATAAAAGGAGGATTTAAACTGTTACTGTTTCCTGAGAAAGAATTATGTCTATTGGGAATTCACACCCTGATTATATACTTTCTAACAATTTTTTTCTAAATCATAGAGTAGCCTTCAATTTTTTATGTAGTATGACGATATTTCAATCTCAGACAGATTTGACTCAATTCAGCAACACTTATTGAGGGTATATACTGCAGTCTAGGCTCCCAAGTCGACCCTTTCCCTTGCCTTCAAAAAGTTATGTTTAATAAGGGATGGCAGACCTGGAGAGGCAGTTTCCCTACAATGTATTGGGAAACATACTACATTTTACAAATGGGATCTCTTTCTCTCTCTCTCTCTCTCTCTCTCTCTCTCTCTCTCTCTCCCCCCTCAATCTTCTTGCACTCATGCACAAGCACATGTGTGTGCATGCATGGGTGTGTGCATTGGAGATCAAACCTGAGATGTTGTGCATGTTAGAGAAGCAGTTCTAACACTAGGCTGCATGCCCACCCTCATGGCAAGTGGTCTGCTAGGTTTCATGGTTGCCTCACATGGGAATTCAGCCCTGAGTAAAAGCTTTTGCCTTTTCCTTTGGGCTTCCATCAGAAACATTAGATTTATAACTACATATTTTTTTCTGTACAGGTCCCATTCCATTTCAAGTGCTGATCATAAGAAGATAGTTGAAGCAATAGAGACAGTTAAGTACTCTTCCTATTCCCCTTCAATGTGTGCTGAGGTACAGTGGTGGCAGCATTCTTTGGGCTTCCAAAGGCTGGAAACAGTCTTATAGTGGCATATTATTTGTGATATAATAAATAGGACTTGCCTAAAGGTCAGTGCAAAGCAGCCACACTAGACAGCCTTGCAGGCCAGGCAGTGGTGGTACAACCTTTAATCTCAGCAGCTACACTAGTTAGCCACAGAGGCTGGATGGTAGTGGCACATGCCTTCAATCCCAGCACTAAAGAGGAATATAAGGCAGGATGAGACAGGAACTCATTTCTCTTTCAGTCTGAAGATATCAAAGAGGTAAGAACTCTCCAGCAGCTTGACCGCTTTTGCTTTTCTGATCTTCAAGTTAAACCCCAATATCTGGCTGTGGGTTTTTATTATTCATGCTATATTTAGTGCCCAACATTTGGGGTATGAATTCACAAAAAAGTCACCAGTACAGGCCAGAGCTTGCACTTGGGGCTCCTGTCCCACTTGGCTAGGCTTTCTATTCTACTCTCCCCCACCCTGAGCCTCAGAGCGAGTTTGGAATTTTCCTGTTGTAGCCTCTCTGAAAGTCTCCAATTGTCACACAAAACTCCAGAAAAACCTGGGCTCCAAAAGTCACTGGACTCACCAGCCCTGGACCAGCTGGTTCTGCCTTCAGGCAGCTCCCCAACCCCTTTTCTGCCACACATGCTTTTTCTGAATAATCCCCTGTACCTTTTTCAGAGAGCCAGCTCTCCCCCCCCCCTCCTTCCCCAGGATGAGTTGCCCTCTCCCTGAACACCCTTTTCAGGCTGCTGCCAAACTAGGTAACTGCCTTGAAATTCAGTCCGGCTTTTACTGTTCTACACAGCAGCAGTAAGCCCCACATCTTCATCAACATAGTCAGCAGATTTGGTAAAACAATTGGGAATTCTTAAAGGGAGGAGTTAGTTAAAAGAGAGAGATTATTCCCACATTAAAAATGGAAAAAAACATTACAATGGAGGGATTTGGGTCTCTGTATGATAATATGCTAGACAGTTTGAAAATGGAACAATTAAATGAGAAGATATCTAATTTATATGGGATTTATGTAATTTCAGTTGTAAACATTATCAGCTTTATCATTTTTGTCTTATCACTAAAGAAAAATGTTAGATAATCTGAGTGCTAAGATACAGAAAAACAAAATAAAACAGATCACAGAGATGTTCAAATCCAGACAGAGGAATTTAATGGAGAGCCAATTTCAGCATTGCATTATAAGAACAATGAGAAACAGCTTAAAGTTTTCTTACAACTGGGGGCAGGAGAGATGGCTCAGTGGTTCAGAGCACTGACTGCTCTTCCAGAGCTCCTGAGTTCAATTCCCAGCAACCACATGGTGGCTCACAGCCATCTATAATGAGATCTGGGGTCCTCTTCTGGTGTGCGGTCATACATGGAAGGAATGCTGTCTACATAATAAATAAATAAATCTTTAAAAAAAAGTTTTCATACAACTAACCTTAATATATCTAGTAACCTTACAGGAATTTCCAAATGGCAGAGGCTCTGTTATAGCTAACTGGACTCCTGTGCTAATATCAGATTTAAGAAGATTCAAGGAAGCAATAGTCTCATATGGCATGCATTCACTTTTTGTGAAGCAAATGTTAAAACTCACGGCAATAGAATTATCTCTCAAGACTGGATAGAAATAATTAATATTGTTTTAGAGCCTGGTGTACATTACAATGGAGCACCTGGTTCAGAGAAGAGGCTAAGATAATTGAACAATGGAGTAAAACTAGAGGTAGAGAAATCTCCCAAGATCAAATTCTTGGAGAAGGAGACTATGCTACAATAGAAAGGCAAGCTGTAAAATGATGGCCACACCCTGGATTTATGACATGCAGCAGCTTTGAATGCTTGGGACAGAGAGGAAAGAAAATTGAGGCATTTACTAAAGTTATACAGGGTTCAAAGGAAGCCTTTAGGGATCTCTTACAAAGATTGACTTCGGCACTAAATAGAATGATACCAAATTCAGAAGCTAGACAAAAAAATAAATGAATTTCTGGCTTTGGAAAAAGACAATTCCCTGTGCAAAAGAATAATTAGGCCATTAAAGGCAAGGTGGAGGAATGGATCTGAGATACAATTAATATTTACTCTCATGACTATGATGATGCATGGATAGAAGAGGTGATTTCTAAAGGTCTGAGGAAAAAAATCAAAATGTCAAATTTATAACTGTGACAAATAGGGTCACCTTAACAGGGATTATAACAAGGTGCTCCTAAAATAATGTTTTTTCTAAGAATAATCCACTCAGAATGCCCCTCCCTTCTGGATTAGGCAGGTGTGGCAAAGGTAGGCAATGGACTATGAATGTAGGTCAACAAGGAATGTTCAAGGTAATCCTTTACAATTGAGAAACTCCATGAGGGGCCTCTCACAGGTCCCTATACCAAATCTGGTTTAGTTGTTTCCTGCATTCATAGAGGAAATTCCTTCCCACATCAATTAAAGAACCTAATGCTTATAGTAAGAAATCATGCTACTGTGGATAATAGAATAGCTGTAGAAGAGAGAACAAAAAAATCAGGAGAAACCATAAAGCAAGTATTTTGGCAAATTTCTATAAATGAACAAAGACCAAAATTAAGAATATGAATAAATGGCATTGTCATTGAAGGTCTGGTAGACACAGGTGTGGCTGTAACAATAATTTTATCAAAATCTTGGCTTCCAAATTAGCCTCTACAGGATGTAAAAGTTCAGTTTTTAGGAATCAGAACATTATCTCAGGTAAAGCAGAGAATGAGATGGGTTGAATGTATAGGACTAGAAGGACAGAGAGGAAAATTAAACCCAATTTAAATTTGTGACTAACACAGCAATGAATTTGTAGGGGCATTATTTTTTTGCAGCAATAGAATACTCAGATTAACATTCTCCCAATCTTAGAAACAAACCATAAGTTAACATATGTTTCTGGTAAAAATATTACAAGATATTATAAGAAATGGTCACCAATGTTTTAGGTTGTACAATAAAGAGCACAATAGCTGCTGATCTTCCAAAGGCGCCAACAGCCCTACCTTTAAAATGGTTGACAGACAAACCTGTATGGGTTAAGCAATGGCCTTTAACAACAGAGAAACTGCAGACTTTAGAACAGCTTGAACAGGAACAACTAAAAGCTCAGCATGTTGAAGAATCAACCAGCCCTTGGAATTCTCTTGTATTTGTTGTTAAAGAAAAACCTGAAAAATGGAGAACAGTAACAGATCTAAGAACTGTTAATAAGATGATTCACCCAATGAGCTCTCTACAGTCTGACATACCTTTGCCTTCTCTATAGCCTAAAGGATAACCTCTTATAGTTATTGATTTAAAAGATTGTTTCTTTACTATACCTTTACAAGAAAAAGACAGAGAAAAATTTGCTTTCACAGTACCTCCTTACAATAATTCTCAGCCTGCTTAAAAGATATCAATGGTTCTGCCACAGGGAATGTTAAATCATTTCAACCTGTGCCAATATTATGTAAAATGGCCATTGGAAATGATATGTAAGCAATTTCCTGAATCTATAGTTTAACATTACATGGATGATGTTTTACTATCTGATTCAAATGTAGATACTTTAGAAAGAGTGTTTGAAGAAGAAAATTTTGCCTTGTTGGAGATTACAAATTGCTCCTGAAAAATAGAAAGGAGATTCTATTAATTATTTAGGCGATAAAATAGTTTTATAAAAAATTAGACCCCAAAAGGTACAAATTAGGAGAAACTGATTGTAGACTCTTAATGACTCCCAGAGATTGCTAGAAGACATTTCCTATCTACCATACACTATTAGGATAGGTCCTGATGACCTGATTAATTTAAACAAAACCTTAGATGATAACAAGGACTTAAATAGTCCCAAAGAATATCAGCTGAAGCAGAAAGAGAATTGGTTTTGATTAAAGAGAAATTACAGATGGCACATGTATATCATGTGTTTCTGAATCTTATCTTTACTGCATAAACTGACTAAAAAAATTAAAAAGTTATGTGGAAAGGGCCTCTGAATTAATTATAAAAGAAAAATTGAGACTTCATCAATTAGCAATAATAGACTCAGCAAAAATTATAGTACCTTTTAATAATGATGAAATTAAAAATAATGGGAAGAAAGTGAACCCTGGCAAATACTTGTAATAACTTTTGGGAGAGATTAGTAACAACTATTCCAAAACAAGAGAATTCATCTTATAAAGAGAACTTAGCTGGATCCTTCCTTGTGTTGTACAGGGCACACCAATAATTGAAGCCCCTACATTCTATACTAATGCAAATAAATCAGGAAAGGCTGGTTACAAATCAGAAAATTTAAGTAACGTATATCAAAGCCCTTATAATTCTGTCAAAAAGTCAGAATTATATGCTTTTCTTATGGTACTAAAGTATTTTAAAGGCCTTCTCAATATAGTTACTAATTCATAGTATGCAGAAAGAGTTGTTTTGCATATTGAAACTGCTGAATTTATACCAGATGATACAGAATTGACTTTATTATTTATTCAGTGACAAGATACAATCAGGAATAGGAATCATCCCATATACATAACATACATCCAATACCGTACAGGTCTCCTAAGTCCTCTAGCACAAGGTAACATAGAAATCAATCAATTATTGATTAGAATATGCTGAAGTCCTCAGAATTTCATTTTTAAAAAATCTTGTCAATAGCAAAAGTTTTTAAAAAAAAAAGACTTTTCCATCACATGGCAACAAGCCAAGGAAATTATAAGAAAATGTACTACTTGTTATTTATATAACCAAGCACCACAACCTGCAGGGAGTAACTTACAGGGTACTCAAAGGAATGAAATCTGGCAGATTGATGTGTTGCATTCTGTAGAATTTGGAGATCTAAAATATGTACACCACACCATTGATACTTACTCAGGTTTTCAATGGGCAACTGCTTTGAGTTCAGAAAAGGCTGATTCAGTAATCACACATTTGCTGGAAGTTATGGCCATCATGGGTGTACCTGTACAAACAAAGACAAACAATGTTCCAGTATATGTCTCTAAGAAAATAAATGAGTTTTTTGCTCATTATAACATAAAACATAATATAGGTATACCACACAGGCAGTTATAGAAAGATCAAATTGAACTCTAAAGAATGTTAAATAAACAGAAAGGAATGATAAATATCACCAGAAATAGATTGCATAATGCTTTATTAACTTTGACTTTTCTAAATGCTAATGAGAAAGGAACAACAACTGTGAAGAGACATTGGATAGTAGAAAAAAACTACAGAATTAAATCAGCTAATATACTTTAAGGATGTTCTGACCTCAGAATGGAAATCAGGACATGTGTTTCACTGGGGAAGGGGCTTTGCTTTTGTTTCCACAGGAGAAGAAAAGCCATGGATAGTATCAGAATTAGTAAGGTTTGATTTGAACAAGAAACATCTCTTAATTAGAAGAGATGATAGTTCATTAACATGGCCATTTAATGTACACTAACCTTTAAAACTAACAAATGCTTTTCATTTGATCAGATATAACTTGACAAAAGAGAATATCCCCAAAATTAGGGTTGGGGAAGGGTTTTGTTTCTGTCTTTTCAGGAGAATGAAGACATCAGCTAAGGAATATGAAGATCACTGGACAAATGAGACATCTGAAAAAATGGACAAATTATCCAGAAAAAAAAAATGTCTCAAGAAAAAGAGTAAATTGGCATATTGGTATAATACATTTTCAATAGGATAGAATTTCATAAATCTTTCCAAATGTTTGTTTCTACTGTTTTCTACAGACATTTAAGCAAATGGTCTTTCTGTAGTCTCAGTCAAGTTCAAGGTTAAAGCTGGCTTTGGAGTTGGAGTGTGGCTCTCTCCTTCTCTAAACCCAAGCAGGCTTATTAACGTGAAATCCAAATGTCTCATGTCAGAGGAGCCACGTATTCTGGGACATAAGAAAAACAAATATTTAAGGACTATTTTATTGCTACTAATCTCATAATCCTTTGGTTTTATGTTGACTCTAACAGCTTTTCTTAAGTTATAAGATTTATAAAATATATAGATATATATACATATATATATATAATTTTTTTGTCATGATATAATGGTCATATTAGAGTATTAACTGATTCTAGAAAAAGGTTTCATCTACCTTCCTGTACATGATTTTGGATTTGATTCTATCAGTTTTCTGCAGTGAACCATGAGCATGCCTAACAGCTACCTTTCAAATCTCCAAAAGGAGGATGGGGTCCCACAATGACAATTCCTCCAGGACTATGATAACACCACTAAGCTGAAAACACCACCTAAAGATTGGCTTTAGACTATAAACTGCTTAGAACAATTTTGAGGTGGCTAGCTAAGATGATCCAGTCTGACAGTCTGGGCTTGAGACAACACATACATTTTCCTAGTATGCTGAGACTGCACAAAAAATGATACCGCTACCTCTCCCAGGATTTGACAACTAACCCAAATTTTTCTTTTCAGGATTCCTTAAAGATACCATCACCCCCAGACATCAGAAAGTAAATTTAAGAATATGATACCAAGAGGTGGGGTGGGTAGTTTTTGGTCATTCAATGGGTTATGGATTTTTGTCATTGTTCTGAGGGGTTAGTTACCAGCTGCTACTGGTTATGGGCAGGAGGAAAGTTAACAAAGGAGATTAGATTCAGAGTTCTTGTTCTGAAAAGAAAAAGGGGGATATAAATATGATAGGATAAAAGGGTAGATTGTTGAATCTATTCTGAAAAGAAAAAGAGATGATATAGATGAGATTAAAAGGTAGATTATTGAATCTACTTTTTAAAAGCAATATTAGTTTTAAATGTTTTACATTGGATTAGATTTTTGTATATTGTATACAAATTTTGTACATTGATACAAATTTAAACTTAATTTTGTTATACTGTACATATGTTTCTACTCTTGGTCAGGGTATTATATCTACACAGCTCATTTAACAATGTAATGTAAATTTCCAGTCCTTGCACATTATTACTACCAACTGTTTAGGATAATAAGGAAATGCAGGTTATCTATTATAATCAAACCTGTAGTCACATTAGGTATGTTTTCAAGGTCAGACAAAGATATATTTTAGATAGACAGGTCACCTTCAAACACTTTAGAGATCTAGAGAATATGTCATTTAAGATGGTTGAATAACATAGGTGTTTTTTATGACAATGAGACATGTCTGCTCCTGTCAGTTCCCATCTACTTCAGAGAAGATGATGGGCATTGAAGAAACTCCACATGGAGTTTACTTTCATTGTGTTCAGTGTGAGCCAATGGTCAAAAAAGTGCTTGCCTCAACAGTATGCTGTCCTAATTAGACAAGCAGGACACAAGAGAGTAGCTGTCAAACATTTTCAAGACAAGGAGGGACAACCCCTCAGAATATCCCACTTCACAGAAAAGTCTGTCAGATGCGCTAGGCCTACTGGATATGGATGGATCCTGTAGAAGATGGATGCCCCAACATTGCAGAGGAACTTTGGGTGACTGTCCAGGCAGCCAGTTGTTTCTGTCATTTCTCACATTTTTTTGGAAGTTGCTTGGTCACACTTCCTGCTTACTTGGTTAATATTATTTCCTTCTTGAATCTCTGAGGGAGTTGAAGACTAGATAGTTATAGTTTTCCCCATTTACTAGATGCAGAAAGCAAGTTATAATAAAAAGTAATTTAGGTACAAGACTTTGGACTCACCAAGATAGTATAGATATGGAATATTTTCTCAGAATTTGTCAAATGCAAGTGGACTAGACATTGTTGATGTATTTATTGCCTATATATAGTTTAAATATTGTACTTACTATATATAGTTTCTAATATTATTTATTTTTAGACAAAAAATGGAAATATATTGATATATTAATTGTGTTTTAATAAATAAAGCTTGCCTGAAGGTCCACACAAAGCAGCCACAGTAGTCAACCACACAGGCCAGACAGTGGTGGACACACCTTTAATCCCAGCAACCATACTAGTTAGCCATTGAGGCTGGACTGTGGTGGTAGCACACCTTTAATCACAGCACTAGAGAGGAATATAAGGCAGAATGAGACAGGAACTCACTCCAATTTCAGTCTGAAGATTTCAAAGATGTAAGAGTTCTCTAGTGGCTGGTTGCTTTGCTTTTCTGATCTTCAGGTTGAATCACAATATCTGTCTCTGGTTTTTTACTATTTTCCTATAGACTAGGCATTTGAGCGGCCCACAGTCTGAAGTGGTCTTTTCTGGGATAAAATACTTCAGCATAAGTTATCAAAGAATGCCAGAACTCCTGTGCAGACAGAGGTGGGAGTGTTCCTGGATCTGGATGTGAGGAATGCTGGGTGCAAGGCCTCAATGCTGGTCTCATGATATTTAAACTTGCCTGTCACTGAAGATGGTGCTTGGATTCTACTCCTTCACACCAGCTTTGGTGTAGATTCCAGAAGCAGCATGGGCTCCTGTGTGTGCCAAATATGAATCTGCTTTGTTTTCCTTGTTACTAGGTAAGGAAGATGCATTGGCACACTTAACCAAGTACCATTCTGCATTTGGTGAAGCCAATGTGGATGGTTGGCTTCCTCTGCATATGGCGGCAGTGCAGTTAAATAGGAACATCTTAGAAATAGCCCTGAATGGTAAACTCCTTTTCACTCCCCTTGATGCTTCTGAAGAATAAGTTTATTTCTGCATCTTAACCTGTGTGGTGTGATGGATTTATTTCAGCTTCCAAACCCAGTACGTGGGAACAAACCACCCACAATGGAGAAACACCACTTTTTTTGGCTGTCAGCAGTAGCCTCCTAGAAAATGCCCATTTTCTACTTCTCAATGGCTGCAACCCAAATGCTAAGAATCTTGAAGGCAATTCTCCTCTTTTTACAGGTAAATGAGCGGCTTGTCCTTAAAGCAGGTCCAGGTCTCCTCCGTCCCACACTGTCCATTCGTTCCCTGCTGGTCAGACAGAGAAACCTGGTTTTTAGATTGTATCCAGCTGGGCATAACTTCCACTTATAACTAACTATTCTCAATTTTTAGCTCACAAAGTGAGCTGAAAGCTAGCATCGATTTTGAAACCATATGCCAAGAATAAAACCTAAAAAAGAAAAATCCTCTGAGGAAGAAGAAAGACAGTTGGAAAAAACAGAGAACAATAATGGCTGGCTCTTTAAACCCAGCACAAATGTAATTTTTCCCAGCACTCCAATGTTGTCTCCTGGGGCTGAGTCTTTCTTAGAAGGCCTTGCATAAGCCACAGGAGTGCAGGTCAGTCCCACATCCTCAAAACTGTGGGTGTCTGGTGTGCTAATAGTCACATAAAGGCAAACACACTTTAAACTTCCAGGCTTTCACAGTGATGGTGGGCAGCTGTCTTCCTCTCTGGATTTTTGCCTTTCATTTATTCATGTTGTGTGTTTGTGGTGCTGTGACTCTAGGCCAGTACTATGATTTGGTTGTTGCAACTCCATGATCAGTTTCATCAAAAAGAACTTCATGGAGCACCTGTACTTTGGGAATGTCCAAACTCTCATTTCCCAGGGCAGAGCCTTTCTCCTATATAGATGTAAATTACATTTTAGTTATCCATTCATTTGCTGAGGTGGCTTCAGTTGCTGTTAGGGTTCTCCTGCTAAGCAGCTGCAGACATTCTAGAACTGTACTAAGAATTTAGACTCTCATTAAAAATATAGAATTCACTTTTATTAAAGATGCTTTTCATAAACAATTCCAAAATTAGAATTAACATGTAAATAAAAGTGGTTGCCACCACCCTGTCGTGGGTGAAGGGGTAATTTTAGTAGACAATGATGTCACCTTGCCTTAACATTTCTCTCCACTTGATTTATAGATGAACATGTGTTTTCTTTCCGCTTTCATAATAGTTTTACATTCATTTACTCATCGTGTATGGGCGACTGGGGGGTGCACTAACATGGCACAAGTATGGAGGTCATATGACAAAAACTTGTAGAAATTGATTCTCTCCTTCCATCATGTGTGGCCCAGAAACGGAACACAGCTTGTCAGATGTGAGCAAGTGCCTTTGCCCATTGGACCATATCACTGGTGTTATAGTTTATAAACACACAGTGGTGGGGGACCAGTCTCACAAGGGGCTGCAGTCCTATGGTAGAGAAGCAGCAAGCCACCCAAGGCCTTGGTGTGGTAGCGGCGAGCCCCCTTGGCGGGTGGGAAACCACAGCAGGTGAGAGACAGACAGATACGCCATGCAGAGAGAGAGGATTTGGGTATTAAGTTTATTTAGTGGGCTATGAAAAGGAAAGGGGAAGGGGAGAGACTGAAGCAGGCAAAGAGGCAGTAGTTACCTCTTCTAAAGAGGGACAGGAAGAGAAAGAGCAGGCTGGAGAGGAGGTAGAAGGGGGTGGTTGGGAGTGGGCGGGACTTGTCTCTTGAGGGAACAGGGTCTCCAGGTGACAGACCAGGCCAACAGATTATAATAACTGGCCCTTCTTTTCTTTCATTCTTTTTTTTAAAATATTTATTTATTATGTATACAATATTCTGTCTGTGAGTATGCCTGCAGGCCAGAAGAGGGCACCAGACTCCATTACTGATGGTTGTGAGCCACCATGTGGTTGCTGGGAATTGAACTCAGGACCTTTGGAAGAGCAGGCAATGCTCTTAACCTCTGAGCCATCTCTCCAGCCCCCTCTTTCATTCTTAAAAAAAAAAGGCATACATTATTTACACATTATACTGGGTTTCATTAACATTTCTTCAAAGTGACAAAGTGTGATGTATTTTTAGGTGGTAAATACAGGGAGAGTTGGTTTGTACACTGACTTAGCTGTTATGCCCAGATCCACAGAGTCCCCAAAAAGCCAACAAGGAGACTGAGTTCGTATGTAAAAGCTCAAGCCTTTATTCTTACTCAAGTTTGAACTCAGATTCTCTGTGTGTCCACTGTATTGGCAGAATTGGAGTAAAGGAGTAAGTCACAAACACCAGTTTGGAATTATGATTATTAAAAGAGTTATTTATTTAAAGAGAAAAACTTACAGATCACAGTCCTAGACAACAGCCCTCTGCACGATCAGGAAGAGTCTGGTAGCCGAAGCGAAGTCTGAAGCTGCTTTTTCAAGCCAAAGAGACCATGCCCAAGTGGGCTGGTATCTTAAAGGCTTTTGGCTAACGGAGCAGAAGGAGCTCCCACAGCATGGGAGAGCCCTGAACACAGTTGGGGTGAGGCTTTTATAATAGTAGAGGTTGGGGTGAGGGATTTCTAAGGTTCGGGACCCCTGACTGGCTGATATTTGTCTATGGGTGCTCTGATGAAAAGGAGATGGGTGTGTGCTGGCCTAAGGGACATCAAGTGATCCTATCTACAATAGGTGGAATGTTAGGAATTTCCTTTGGATGGTCTGTTCCATCCTTTGGATGGCAGTGACTGGATGGTCTCAGTTTGTGGTCTTTCTTGGAACCAAGAATTGCCTTAGGGTAAACTACTGAGACTCAGGCCTACTTTCCAGTTGGTCTCTATAGAGCCTGTCTTGGCAGACGTGTACCAAGCTGCCCTGGGTCCTACATTAGCATTTAGGCATACACCATCATCATGACATTTTCATCTGTGTGTACAATGTATTTCTGTAATGTCTATTCCCATATTACCTTCTCCTCTCCCTCCAATCTCCTTCCTCTTTTCAGCCACCACCTCTCCCCCTTCATGTCCTTGTTTTTGATGATCCAGTTAGTTTAATTAGGATTGCTTAAAGAAACATGGAAGAGAGGTTATTTACAGTGTGGGGGCCAGCCATGGTAAGCTAAATATGAACAGATCACCCAAAGGAAGTTCTTTACTTCTAACCATTATCACCTGCCAGAGTAGAACTCAGCCATCAATAAATTTAGTAAGAGGCCTGAGCCTCAGTAGTTTACCCTGAGGCAATACTTGGTTGCAGAAAGAACCAGAAACTGAGATTACCTAGCACCACCCAAGAGCAGACCATTCAAAGGAAATGCCGGACATTCCAACCACTGTAGATAGGATCACCTGATGCAGGAGAATTGTCTGTATTCTGTCAATCATATTTTAATAAAACGCTGATTGGCCAGGCAGGCAGTATAGGTGGGAAAACCAGACAGGAAGTAGAGGTGATGCAATGAGAACAGGAGAATTCTGGGAAGTAGGGAGGTTCCTCTGCCATTCCTGCGCAGACCACTGAAGAGGCACCATGGAAGCTGACAGCTGAAAAAGGTACCAAGCCATATGGCTAACATAGATCAGAATAATGGGTTAAGATAAGTCATAAGAACAAATAAGTAGCCTGACCTAATGGGCCAATCAGTTTATAATCTTATGGAGATCTCTGTGTGATTGATTTTCTTTGGAACTTGCTGGTTGTGGGGTATCAGGCAGGATAGAAACCCCAACAAGCTGGCCCTCATGCTACATATGGCGCCCACGTGGATAACTGAATCCACAGAAAGCTTGAGAAAGCTTGGGAAAGAGTAAAACATGTTTTCTTGGTAGCAGCAATTTCTCGGGTCTGCTCTGCTTGCTAGAGGCAAGCAAGGCTTTCATCTAAGAGAGGCTTCCTGACTCAGCTTTAACTGCAAAACCCTGCAGCTCTTTTAAGAGGTCCTGCCGCAAAACACTTAAACGGTGTTGATGAAAAGCTGAACGCATGCTTTTCGGTGTTCAGCCGTAGCAGGAAAAAAGCTGCACTGTTTTAAAATGCCGGTTTTCTGGGCTGTCCTGCCAGGTCAAACTCTGACTCTTTTAGGCAGGCAGTCCGACTGAATGTGGTCTGTGAGCAGAATACTACAGCTTGCTTGCTAGCAAGGACCTTGAAACGCCATAGAGTTGTGGCAGTGAACACAGCTCTGGCTGGTATCTCAGCCATGAGGCTGGAAAGTTAAGAAATGGGCTGGATCTAGCCATCAAAGCCATGGTTTTAATCCTCTCCTTAAAGACTTGTGTGGTCAAAAAAAGAGAGATATACAGTAAAGAGAGATTCAAAGAGGAAGAAAACCTCTAAATGGTTTACAGTGTGTTAAAAGGCTAAAAGTTAAAGTTCTTAAAGTAAAGAAAGAGAGTAGTTGGGTGTGGTGGTACACACCTTTAATCCCAACACTTCAGAGGCAGAGGTAAATTGAACTCTTGAGACTTTAAGGGACAGAGGTAGTTGACCTCTGTGAGTTCAAGGTGTGGTAGCATACACCTTTAATCCCAGCACTGGGGAGGCAGAGACAGACAGATCTCTGTGAGTTCAAGGACAGCCTGGTCTAATGAGTTTTTCCAGGACAAAGATATACAGAGAACCTGTCTCAAAAAGGAAAAGTAAAAATAAAAGAAATAGAGGTTGAAATAAAGCCATATAAAGATGGAAAATACACAGAGAATCTTGATACTGTATGCTATTATGCTCTCTTTAAATTGTTTGAATGCTGAGGAAGGAGCAACAGTCGCCAAAAGACATTTGTTTATAAATGCTGCTGAACTAACCCAAGATTGGTATTTTGAAAATACCTTGGCTTCAAAACTGAAGTCAAAAAGTATGTTACTTTGGAGAAGAGATTTTGCTTTTATTTCCATAGAAAACGAGAGGCTCTGGATTTATTCAGAGTTAAGAAAAATCACCTTTGACCAAGGGAGGCCACCTGAAAAATCTCCGACAGGAACAGATGACCCAGATATTTGAATTCTTCATCCAGAACAGGTTCAAGACTGCTGCCTGAGATGATCAAGACTCACAGGATACTCCAGTCAGGACTTGATGATAATTCTAAATTTTCTTTAGGTCCCCATAAGATTATCAGGGCCCCAACCAGCAGGAAGTAGCCTGAAATACTACGCCCACATTCCCAACAAATGGACTATGGGTATTTTCCTTTGTTAAAAAAAAAAGAGGGAAATGATGCAGGAGAATTGTCTGTATTCTGTCAATCATATTTTAATAAAACGCTGATTGGCCAGGCAGGCAGTATAGGCAGGAAAACCAGACAGGAAGTAGAGGGGATGCAATGAGAACAGGAGAATTCTGGGAAGCAGAGAGGTTCCTCTGCCACTCCTGCGCAGACCACCGAAGCAGCACCATGTAAGCTGACAGCTGAAAAAGGTATCAAGCCATATGGCTAACATAGATGAGAATAATGGGTTAATATAAGCTATAAGAGTGAACAAGAAACCTGAGCTAATGGGCCAATCAGTCTATAACCTTATGGAGTCCTGTGTGTGATTTTCCTTTGGGGCTTGCCGGCTGTGGGGTACTGGGCGGGACAGATACCCCAACAAGCCGGTCCCCTCATACTACAATCACCTGCCAGCATACCTCACCAGGATACAACTAGACAAATGTCAGCCAATTAGGGGTCCTGAACCTCAGAGATTCCTAACCCCCACCTTTACTACTATGAATACCCAATTCTAAATGAGCTCAGGGCTCTTCAGTTATTCCAATACATTGGTCATGCAGAGAGAGCAAGTTTGCAAACTTGATTAAAATAAAGGCTCTTTGCTTTTACATATGGGACTTGGTTTCCTTGTTAGCTTGCGGGACTGCACGGATTTGGGCATAACACTAAACAGAATGCTGGAGCATGGGGGAAGGGGAAAATTCCTTAAGAAACTGAAGGGCACTAGCTAATATGCTACTTACCTTAAGCCTCTCTTATATAATGTCTACCTCACAATTTCCCAGCTGTTCTGAAAAACTCCTATGACATGGCTACCTTGCTGATCAGTCATGGAGCAGATGTCAATCTGCAATGTGCCAACAAGAGGACAGCTCTCCATGAAGCTGCCAAGCTAGGCAACTGGGACATGGTAAAGCTGATGCTGACTTCCGGGGCACACCCAGATGCATGGAGCTCCTATGGATTTACTCCTCTTGCCCTTGCTGCTCAAGGCGGACATACTGAAATCATGGAACTATTACTGCGGAAAGGCAAGATTTGCTTAGTGACTGATTACAGGAGGACTGAGAGCCAGGGCTGGGTTTGGTTGGTGGGGTTTAATGCTTGATTTTAAAGATGTTTGTTTGCATTTAATATTTTAATACTATTTAAATGAATGCAAAGTCCACAGAGGTCAGAAGAGGAAGTCAGGCACCTGGAAACTGGAGTTAAAACAGTGGTGAACTGCCGTGTGGGTGCTGGGAATTGAACCCGACCCGGGTTCAATAGAAGAGCAGTCAGTGCTCTTAACCACTGAGCCAAGTCTCCAGATTCCCCAAGAGTTCCTCTTGATGGGATATTTCAAAATAATACATGTTAACATTTTTATAAAGACCAGTGTTTGAGAAAATTGTGTGTGAATCTTGACTATTAAAAGCCTGAACTCAGCTAGGCAGTGGTGGTGCTCACCTTTGATCCCAGCACTCAGGAGGCAGAGGCAGTTGGATCTCTGAGTGCAAGGCCAACCTGGTCTACAGAGCAAGTTCCAGGACAGCCAAGTCAAGGTTATGCAGTGAAACCCTGTCCAAAAAGAAAAGCCTGAACATGGAGAATGAATTTCTTGTGACACGATTTTACAAATTCTGAGGCTGCAGATGACTTTAGCCCAGTACTCCCTCATCATGCTAAGAGAGCTTTACTTTTGTGTTAGTTGCCCTTTTCTACAAAGTCTCTGCAATAATCCATGTTCTCTCTCTCATTCCTTTTCCTTCACTCTCAACTTTGTCTCAACCACATAAATATCCAGTAGCTATTCACAGCTTACAAAACAACAACAACAAAAAAGCAGATATCTCATTGATATAAAACACTACTAACCAAAGCTGGAAAGATGGCTCAGTGGTTAAGAGCACTGGCTGCTCTTCCAGAGGATCAGAATTCAATTCCCATCACCCACATAGCAGCTCACAATTGTTTGTAACTCTAGTACCAGAAGATCCAAGAACCTCACACAGACTTACATGCAGGCAAAACACCAATGCACATAAAATATAAATAATTCTTAAAAACCACTACTGTAATAGTTTGTCCTGTCCCTTTAAGAGACAAGTACTGCCCACTCCCCCCCCCATCCACCAGCAAGACAGGCAGATCTGCCTCTCTTTTCTCCCCATTTCTCCACACTTTTTTTTATTTCTCTCTCTCTCTCTCTCTCTCTCTCTCTGTCTCTGTCTCTCTCTCTCTGCTCTTACCCCTTCCCCTTTTCCCTTACTCCTCCATAATCCACTAAATAAATACCCACTTCCTCTGCATGGTGTGCTTACCCTCTCAGTCTCTAACCCACCATGCAGCTCCTTGTCTAGGACCCGCTGGCCCTCATGGCCCACAGGCCACTCGGGGGCTCCCTGCCTGGGACGTGGCTGCCTTCGTGGCCCACCCTGGTTCCAGGGACCTGCGGCATGGTCTCATGGTCTACTGCCCACTGCCACCATTGGGGGACTTGCAGCATTTCTGCCTCTGCGCCCCTCGGGGATCTGCAGCATTTTACTTGAACCACACTGCAACTAGAATGGGTAGACATTTTCTGTCCTGCCAGCCATCTCCCAAACAAACTACACAAAGACTTAATTATGAAAGCACAACTGATAGTTTAGGCTTGTTTCTAGCTAGCTCTTACAACTTAAATGAACTGAAAGACCTCTGGAGCAGGGAGACTCTCACTCAAGTCTCGGGATAACACGACTCCCCATGAACTCACAAGAGACCTTCCTTGCTGCAATCACACGAGGTTAATTGACAGGACAGGAACCAGTGCACTGGGGTCAAAACTCATTTCCCACGTAGGGGTAGAGAGTTTGACCCCAAGTAGCTGGGAGAAGGGGTATTTAAGGGAAGAAACCACAACCCAGTAATCCAAAGGGGGCAGGGTGGGCGTCATTGGAAAATTCTGAAAATACCAGTGCTCACTGAAAAATTCCGAAAATACAAGTGATAATCACAAGGGGGTAACTTCCTGTTTCTCAAGATTATACCCAAAATTATAATCTAACTTTATCTTCAGCTAGTTCCTGACACAGAGTCACTGAACCAGCTAACCTAGATTTTTGGCTCTTCTCTTCCTGCTGGATTTTTGGCTCTATTTTTCCTGCTAGAGGGGTCTGGATTTATCCAGGTCTTTTAGAACGTATTTCTATTAACTCACTTTCTGCCTCATGGACTTACCACCTTTACTCTGCATGGCTTATGCTGCTTTCCTGCTTCCTCCATCTCTAGCTGGCAATTCCTAGCAACTCTGCCCTTCTTCTTCCCAGCATTCTCACTACCCTAAAAATCCTGCCTAGCTATTGGCTGCTTAGTTTTTTATTAAACCAATCACAGTGAAGTATCTTCACACAGTGTAAAGGAATATTCTACTAATATTACTGTGTATCTGCCCTATTTATCAATCAAACTATCTATCTATCTATCTATCTATCTATCTATCTATCTATCTATCTATCTATCATCTAGCTAGCTAGCATATCCCCTCCCCGTTTCTCTCCCTCCACAAGGCAATTTCTTATCAAGTTGTTAAGATAAGAGCAAATTCCTTCTGCCTGCTTTGCTTTGGGTCCTAGCCTCTGCTCTAACAGTCAAACTCCTGTGGAAGAGAGGACAATTCATGTTTACAGAGTACTTACAGAGTAAATCCCACAGGCATTAGCAGTCTATGTACCACACACAGTCCTTTAAATATGTGAGGCAGATATCAACTCACCCTGCACTTGAGGAAAGAGAATCAAAGCAGTACCAGCTGCAACACTTCTTCCAGTATACCCACTCCCTTACCGCAACACTGAATTATAGTGATGGCCATTCTAGATTCTGGGATGACTAGCAGGAACCTTTGGCTCAGAAAACTTATAGATCATTGAAATCATCATTAATGTGTCCAATGAAGCAGTATATGAAGTCCCAACAGTATAAGTATCTTTTTTATTCTCCTTATATTCAGAAATTTTGGTTTTAGTAATATGTAGTCCCAGTTTGTAATATTCTAGATGGCAAAGTTGCCTATATTGAAGAAAAGTTCTGTCCTTTGTTCTGTCCTTTGTACACTTATTTCTTTTCTGTACAGGAAGCAGATCTCCAGCAAATGCCTATTAAATTTTAGCATGACGCCTGACATATGTGATCTACGGGATGTTGTTAGATATTATTTGCTAGAATAACAAAAAGTAAATACCAGATCTTTCATCTTTAAGGAAAGATTCTCTCTCTCTCTCTCTCTCTCTCTCTCTCTCTCTCTCTCTCTCTGTGTGTGTGTGTGTGTGTGTGTGTGTGTGTGTGTGTGTGTGTGTATTGCTAGGGTTTAAACCAGTCTTTTGCATTCTTCAAAGAAACTCTAATAAACCACATCTCTAGACTAAGAGTAAATTTAGATCAGTGATTTAAATATAGAGATGAAGAAAGAGAACAAATTTTAAATCTTTTTAACCCTTTAGATTAGCTATCATTTGCTAGCCAGTGAGCCAGCATTTGAAGTCATACCTGACTCTAAATCATACTTTACCATCCTGTGCAGTGCAGTAGCAACATTGTAACATGAGGGCCGGCTTGTTGGGGTTTCTGTCCCGCTGGGTACCCCACAACCTGCAAGCCCCAAAGAAAATTACACACAGGACTCCATAAGATTATAAACTGATTGGCCCATTAGGTCAGGCTTCTTATTAGTCCTTATAACTTATATTAATCCATTATCATTATCTATGTTAGCCACACGGCTCAGTACCTTTCTCAGTGTGACAGCTCACATGTTGCCTCTTCGGTAGTCTGGGCAGGAATGGCGGAGGGAGCTTCCTGCTTCCCAGAATATTCCTGTTCTCATAGCCCTGCCTCTACTTCCTGTCTGGTTGACCCACCTATACTTCCTGCCTGACCAATAAGCATTTTATTAAAATACATGATTGACAGAATACAGATAATTCTCCTGCACCACAATATGGTCTCATAGAAGTAAGCTTGGGTATGCAGATGTGCACACAAATCTTTTTGTTGTTGTTTTGTTTTTTCCTCTTTTTATTACTTTATAAATAATACCAATCAAAATTTCCACTTCCTCATCTTAATCACCTTGCTTGTCTACTAGCTCTGTGTCTTTGGGGAACTTAAACTCAGAAAGTCTAAATTTTTTCACCTTTAAATGAGGATATTAGAACCTACTTCTAAGGTTCATCGTGAAGTTTAGAGATTCCGTAAGATTTTTTTAAACCTATCTTTGATTTTTGTGACTGGGCCTCTCTATGCAGCCCTGGCGGTCCTGGAGCTCACCATGTAGACCAGGCTGGTCTCAAACTCAGAGATCCACCTGCCTTTGCCTTCCAGTACTGGAATTAAAGGTGTGTGTTATCACTCTTGCCCAAAATTTTATGTTTAATTACATATCTGTGTGTGTGTGCTACTAGTGTGTAGATGTCCAAGAAGGCTAGAAAGAGACCGTTGAGCCCCTACAACTGGAGTTAAAGGTGGGTGTGGGCCACCCAACCTGGGTGTTGGAAACTCATTTCAGGTCTTCTGGAAGAGAAGTAAGTACTTTTAACCACTAAGCTATCTCTCCAGCCCCAAGTTTAGACATTTTTATACATATAAAGCAACCAGGACATAGTGAACATTCAAAAGCGGTTATTAGATTGCTTACTGCATTCTAAGAATGAGGTTCTTGTGCAGCCCTTGTGATAAAGCAATCTATTCTAAATTAAAGGCACATTCTTTTTATTGAGCTCCAAATATGCTCAGAATGTGCTCAGCTTTGAGACTTCTAGCATCGACTCAAACATCTTTCTTTTCTTCAGCTCCCAGCTCCCCTTCCAGTCCCTGCCCTAGATCTTCTAGAGGACACTTAACCTACATACTCGACAAAGTGTGGATACACTTACCTCTGTAGCTATCAACAGCCCTCAACTTTAAGAAGAATTAGGGTCTTTTACTATGAAGTCTGTAATCATTTGAAAAATAACTACTGTCCCTTGTCATCAAAACATCATTAGATGGCATAGAAATATAGCCAGCCGCTTGTGCCACTCTGCATGTAAGCATATTAGGGGTCAGGGTGACTTTTATAAGCCAGTCTAGAAAGAAAGCTACCTTTTACCAAGTATTCCTACTGGACTTCAAGTGCCAAATGATCTATTAAACAACTATGATGGTCAACTGAACTGTAATTTAGAAACTACTTATGCCATGGTTTTCTTCCCCAACTAGTTAATACAGCACGTGGGGAAAGGGAGCACATATTTTATGTCTTCGGTTCTTAGTGTATTACTGTAACAGGTGCTGATTGTTTTTTTTAAAAAAATTATATTTAAGTGTATAAGTGTTTGTCTGCATGTATGCATGTGTACCGCATGCAAGTATAGTGCCCACAGAGGTTAAGAAGAGGACATCAAATCCCCTGGAACTGGAGTTCCCAATGGTTGTGAACCACCTTGTGGGTGCTGGGAACCAAACGCTGGTCCTCTGGAAGAGCAACAATTGCTCTTAACTGCTGAGCTGCTTTTCTGTGGAGGTGATGGTATATTAAGATTGCTTAAGCAATAGAGGAAAAGAATCTTTGCCTATTGAGACTTCTCTTTCTAGGAGCTGATGTTCACAGTCAGGCCTCTGATTCTTCCTCCATTTTACTTGAAGCCGTTAGAGGAGGAAACCCAGACTCTGTGACTCTCTTGCTAGAATATGGAGCTGACGCCAACATTCCTAAAAGCTCAGGCCACCTGCCCATACATGTGGCAGCTGACAAAGGCCACTTATTGTAAGTTCAATTCTGTAATTGTAAGAAACAGGAAATAGTAATAACTAAATTTCTTTAAAGAACTGCTTGGGAAACATGGGAAGCCTTGGGCCTCAGGTGATCTGACTAATTCGGAGTTTTTCCCTTAACAGTAGTTCCATTAAATTTTACTTGACATCTGAGTTTCTTGAAGAAAGTAACACTTTTGGTAGGGGTCCTAAATACCATCTGGTTAACATATATCATTCAATGTAGGGCTAACAGTCTCATAAATAGGCTAACTCTGCATTGTAACAACCTGAAGTGCATTTGATATTTTTTTCCCAGAGCCCTAAAGATGTTGGTTCCAGTTACGGATATTGCTGCCATCAAGAGGAGTGGGATCAGTCCAGTTCACTGTGCAGCAGCTGGGGCGCACCCCCAGTGCCTGGAAATTCTCATTCAGGCTGGATTTGATGTGAATTTCATGCTAGATCAGAGAATCCGTAAACATTATGATGATCAAAGGAAGTCAGCCTTGTATTTTGCTGTTTCAAATGGTGACCTCTCTTCAGTTAAACTGCTTCTGAATGCTGGTGCTCTACCCAATCAAGACCCAGTCAACTGCCTACAGATAGCTCTCAGGATGGGCAACCATGAGCTCATAAGTCTACTACTGAGGCATGGGGCCAACGTCAACTACTTCTGCAGAGTTAACCCTTTGCATTTCCCATCGGCACTGCAATACTCACTGAAAGACGAAGTCATGCTCAGGATGCTATTGAATTATGGGTATGACACAGAGCGATGCTTTGATTGTCCTCACGGGGACAGAGTTCATCGTTTTTGTACTTTTGAAGGCTGGACACCTACAGTTATTAAAGATACTATGGTAAGTCCACAGTACTGGTGGCATTTCGTAAACAGTTATTGTCTGTAGTCTTGGAACTGTAACAATAGATACAATATGCCCTTGGGGAAGCTCCTGTTGGGAAGACTCTAGTATGTCACATCGTAAGATAAACCCACAGTGGGAAGATGTAAGAAGTAGAAAGATAACTCCGAGGAGAAAGTGACTTTAGTCACAAGTTCAACACAAAAGCAAGGTTTTAAAGACCTTGTACTCTAGCTACTTTTACTTTGAATAATTTATTTAGCTAAAATGTTTCCAAGTTCCCCATACCTATAATCACTGTGTTTCTTTAGCTCTCAAATTTGATGAGCCCATTTCCTTTTGCCATCTTTCTGATGAAGAGAATCACATATCAGTCTCTTGGTTTTGCCTTACCTCCTCTGTTATTTTCCTCACCAACTTTTTCCAGGGCTTTCAAATTGCTTCTTCCACTTTTCTGGTCTTATTTCAAGTGTCCTCTTTCACAGGCCCTTCCTTATCCACCTTAAGAATTCCCTCCCTGAATCAATTCTCTTACTGTGGATATTTCTTTTATAGCATTTACCTAGAATTATCATTTTAACTATTTTGAATCCCTCAGAAATATATAAACATCAGTTCTTGTTCATTTTGTCTGTGCTTTGTACACAGTGGATGTTTTATACACCTGAACGTACATTATCAAAATTTAAAAACAAGGGTTGGGCGGTGGTGGTGCATACCTTTAATCCCAGCACTTGGGAGGCAGAGGCAGGTGAATCTATACGAGTTCAAGGCCAGCCGGGTCTACACAGTTGAGTTTCAGGACAGCCAAGGTTACACAGAAAAACCCTGTCCCCCTCTCAAAAAAAAAGAAAAGAAAAGAAAAGAAAACAAAACAAAACAAATAAGATGGTGAATGAAAGGTTTTGAACAAGTTTGATGAAGGAAAAGGTGGTGTTTCAGGGAATAAGAGTATGAGTTACTCTGTACACTGATTTGGCATTTAGGCATATACCATCTGGTATTATTTCTGAGCAGTACATGCATTATAACTTTCTCATTTGAGCATCTTGTCTAAGGACACATACATTATTTAAAGACAGAAACAGCATCAGGATCAGATTTAGGTTATAAATAACAGAAAATGCAAAAACATAAAAGCTTTAGTAAAATGATAGCTGGATATGATGGCACACATGGAGTCCCAGCTACTCAGGAGACATTACGTGAGGTCAGCCTGAGCAACATAGTAAAAGTCTATCCCCCCCCCAAAAAAAAAAAAACAGGACTAGCAAGATGGCTCGACTGAAAGTGCTTAACACCAAACCTGATGACCTGCCAAACCTCATTGCCCTGTGAGGCTCCGGGGCCACACTGATGTCAGGCGAGCTCATGAACTGAGTTTAGTGCTCTTTTCATTACGCCGCCAAACCGCGGATGTTCAGCGCTCTCTGACTTGCTTTCTGCTTGTTCTCCTCTCAGTTCTGCGAAGTCATTACTTTGTCATGGCTACAGCATCTCTCTGGAAAAGTTGTCCGTGTGATGCTTGATTATGTTGATCAAGTGCAAATCTGCTCAAAATTGAAAGCTGTGCTTGAAAAACAGAAGCTCTGGCCAGAAATACATTTGATCTTGAGTGAGTATCTTTCTTATTGAAAATTCTTACCAAAATACTTATTTTATTTTAGAAAATTCTTCTGATTAAAAGGTTGACCTAAATAGAAAAATACTAGTCTTTTTAAATTGTGCTATTTATAATGTGTGACCATTTCCCATCAAATGAAATCTAATTACTTTATGGATAGATAACACTTTTCCCCCAATCCATTTAACCTATAGCTATCGGGAACAATACACACCCAAGAATTAGAAGTTATGAATTGGCAATAGAAAAAGGGAATGCTACATTCTAACCCTGTAGCATATAAAATGAGGCTTCCCCTCAAATAAATTCTCTCGCTTGGGTCAAAATAAGATTTCCTTATATCTTGCTTCTCCTGGGGTGATCTTTGAGCTTTTAGCCAATTCCAAGAGACAGGATGGGGGAGCTGATATTTAAGTACTTGAAAGATTTGGGAGTCTCACCAAGTCAGACTCACAGCTGACGTGCTTTTGAAACTACAGAAGACAGCGATGAAGACTGAAGAGCTGTTGCCCTACAGACAGTATGGCAAACAAACGCTATTAACACAGATATCAAATACATTTGCCAACTAAACCCTCAGTCACCAAAAAACAAAGTGATTCTTTCTGTTTTAGCAAACCCTCGTTCTCTAAAACACTTGTGCCGCCTCAAGATCCGGAAGTGTATGGGACGGTTACGTCTGCGTTGCCCTGTCTTCATGTCATTTCTACCATTGCCCAACCGTCTAAAAGCTTACGTCCTTTACAAAGAATATGACCTTTACGGACAAGAGAGTTTTACAGGAACCTGGTAACAGACCTATTCTGGAGAAAAAAGGTATAATCTGCAGCATTTTCTTCACAATTTACTTGTTTGAAACGGCTTTCTCTTTGCTCAGTAATTAAAACTTCAGTGTAGTCTACATCATTTAAAAAGTCATTCTGTGTGGGATTCCTCTCTGTGAGCTGGTGAGAGAGGTTCAAAAGTCTCTCAGACAATACAGGTTGTTGTTCTTGCTCTTGACTGCCTACTATGACTCAATGGTGAGATGATATTGCTGAAGACATTACGCACTCTGGTTGCAGGACACAAAGATATCAAGAAACGAACTGGAAGTTTCCTCCTTGCTGGCTAGCTTTCCTAGAGCTGGAGTTTCTATGAAGGCATCTGGGGGCGGGGTACGGGACTATCACTGTGTTACCCAGTTGGGACTCTGTATGTTGGGGGCAGTACTGAACTTGCAGGCAACATGTGCCCCTGATGCAATTGCGATGAGCTATCAAACTGGTCTCTGATTGGAGCACACCAGCGTTCCATTGTGGTGCCAGAGGGGAAAAGTGCTCCCCACATTAGCCTGATGGCCAGAATCTGACCACCAGAGTCCAGTGGTAGGAGAAAATCAACTCCAGCAAGTTGTACTCTGATATCCACATGTACACCATGACACACAAATGCACACACACTTCTCTCTCTAAATGAATAAAGCAAACAAACAAAGCCATCATGGATCAGGGAGGGCTCGTGAGGTCCCACTGCTCCTCAAGGAGCTACTGGTAACTGTAGCTGCTGAGGGAAAGGAGAGTCACTTTCTTCAGTGGTGTAACCCTGGGAAGTGGTTCAAACTCCAGTAGGTTATTTACTTGTTACATTTGTACTGACCTGTCTTCATACTTGCATGAGGGGAACTTATTAAGAGATAAAGGGGGTTCAGCAGGAATGGAAGGGGGATAAGAGGAAGTGATGGGGGTAAATATAATTAAAATATATACATGTGTGAAATTGGCAAAGATAAATTTTAAAGTAGCTCTGAAACCAGGCATGGTGGTATATTCCTGTAATCCCAGCTCTTGGGAGATAGAGGCAGAGGATCAAGAATTCAAGGTCATCCACAGCTACATGGTAAATTCAAGGATGCTTTGGCTATAGGAGACTGTCTCAGGAAAACAACAACAAAAAACAAAAAAACACAAAGAATTTGAACATAGTTTCACAACACATAGCTAGAATTGTAAGGTAATTAAAAATAAAAACCAAAAACTCATCCAAATGTAGTAGCACATGCCTATAATCCAAACTATTCAGGGGGTAAAGGGAGAGAACCTCGAATTCAAAGCCATAGTAGGCTACTAAGCTTGCCTTAGAAGCTAGTACAAATTTCAAGTAACTAAAATATACCCACTTCTAAAACTGTGTACTTATTATTGATCTTATAATAAGTGTATGAATGCAACTTCTTTGTGCTCAAAATAGCAGACGCTACTTCTGAGGATTGTCTTTTCTCAGTAAGTACCTCTGTTGGCTTGGAACTCACAGAGATCCACCTGCATCTGTCTCTTAGAAACTAAGATCACAAGTGTTCACAACCATACCTGGCCATGACTTTTATAGTCTTTTTACAGAGAATATGTATGTAATGGGGGGAGGGGAGATGTGCATGTGAGCACAATGCCCATTGATGTTAGAAGGAAGGTATCAGATCCTCGGAAGCTGAAATTGCAGGCAAATGTGAGCCATCTGCTGTGGCTGCTGGGAACTGAAGAGGAATATGTGCTCTTGACTGCTAACCTATCTCTCCAGCCCCAGCCTAAAAACATCTGAAATTATATAGAGAAATAAAATTCAGAGTAACTAGCAAATATTTCATACATAAAGTCTTTATAAAAAAAAAACATGAACTTTATTATACATTTAAAAAACCCAACAACATACTTCTTGAAGCCCTGTCAGCAAATACCTATTTTGACAAATGAAAAAATAAGTTCTCTGCCCCACAAGCTATACCATGATCACAAATCCAATTTTAAAGAGAGATGCTGCATGATTTTCAATTATATGTACACTGCACAGTTGGTTAATATCATCAGTGAAATAAGAGTTAATCAATTTACTTACATTACAAAAATCACAAAATATACAAAGCAGTCTTGCACATTAATTATCATTTAGTCCCCAATATCCATATTAATTGAAGTCAGTTACTTACAAGTGTAGCTAGAGGTTGACTAAAAGTTCACCATGGTTCTAGTTTCAAATCTGTTATTAATGTAGAATAAAAATCTCATTATAGAGATATAAATCAAGCTTGCTAAAAACAAGATGAAAAGCTTGCTTACTACAAATGCTCAGACTTGTTAACAAAAGCAAATTAATGTGTTCATTTCATTCAGATGCCAGAAGATTTTGTAATATACTAGCTTTCAGGATCTGCCAGCATTGTCAGTTCCAACTGTAAATAGTGTGGTTCCTGTAGTTATTTGTAAGCATTCACCACATAAAACCATGTTACCTACAATGTTATGTACATCCTACTATTCTTTTCTCAAAAATAATGGCTACCTCCTCATTCCAACAAATTCTTTTTTGAAATTAAACACCAAGTAGTCTTTAAATACATGACAAAAACAAGAATGGCTTCAGAGATTCAGGGACTCTGTTCAAAGGGACAGTTTCAGTCTCTAGCAAGTTTACAGCAAGTCTCTAGCAAGGATACAGAAGGAAGTGATTTTCTATTAGTTTATTACACAGTTATGGAAGTACTGTCAATATAGGTAACAGAATGCACAGTAGAATTAGGTAGGCTAAATTTCTCTTCCTTTTTAAAGAAATTTTGTTAATTTCTAAAAAGCTGGGAGAGATTTTGGAGGACAGTACAACAGAACAAGATCAGCATTAACGTTTAGGAAGAAACTCACAGGCAGCTTTCTTCAAGCAGGAGAGCTGATTAAAGCTGCTGTGCAAAATCCCTACAGTTTAACAGCGACAGAACAGACGCTCAGTCATGGAAAATGTTCAGTCCACTCAGGACACGTCCTGGGCATCAGAATACATTCTAGTCTGACCTGTGGATGTGATAGCAACTGTGGGAATTCCTATGAAACGTGACTTAAAAAGAATCAGAAAACTCTCACCCCTAGCCTGAATATTTATCCAAATCGCAGCATTTTGCTGCCATATATAGCAGCAGAAATTAAAGCTGTCTCCTGATGGTGACCACTCTTATTGTAAAACAGATTTCCCCTGCAGTACACAGGACATCTCATATCAAGAAAACACTTCATGAAACTGAAAACTTGGGTTGAGATGCAGCTCAGTGTAAAGGGCTTACTTAGCATATGTAAGATCCCCAGCACTGCTAAAATCAAACAGACAATAAAAACAAAACAAAACCAACAATAAAAGTCAGAAACCTTACCAATCTCAAAAATCTTAAAAGCAGCCAGGCGGTGGTGGCGCACGCCTTTAATCCCAGAACTGGGGAGGCAGAGGCAGGTAGATCTCTGTGAATTTGAGACCATTCTGATCTACAAGAGCTAGTTCCAGGACAGGCTCCAAAGCTACAGAGAAACCCTGTCTCGAAACCCCCTCCCCCCGAAAAAAAAATCTTTAAAGCAAGACTTGCCACAACTAGTCAAGTACTGAGCACAGCAATTTCTAGTTGAACAAGAAGGAAACACTAATGTGAAAACATTTCCTTTAGAAAGTACAAAACAGACTTTTAACCAAATGGGCTCCATAAATTGCTACTTATTAACTGTATATTTGAGTAACATAAAAGTTTAAAGAGTACTAAGTAAGCACTAGTCCCATTTGGCACATGAATTAAAAACAATATCATGATCAAATATATATATATATATATATATAGTTATCTCATGACTACAGAAAACTGTACTTACAGAGTGTGAAACTAAGTTCAGAACTAAGAGAAAATTACTTGTGAAATTAGTGGTTAACCTCTTGAAAAATCTATAAATGTATGACTATGTAGAATACTTTACTCAATATATTTAAACTGTACATGTATATATATATATATATATATACTTTTTCATGTATAACACATGAAAATAAAATCTATAAACAAAGATTAAAATCTAAGTGAGGAAAGGCTTGAAAGAAGATGAACTGAGGGACATGTCAACCTTGGTAGCAAGCTAACTCCTTCCTTGGTCCTATACTATATGAGGTGTTCAATTCCTTTTCAGTCTTTCATGGAATTAGATCTTTTGCTCATTTGAAAAGTAAAAGTATTTACAATAATTAGTACAAATTATTCTATACTCATAAATTATTTGCCTTTGTGGATATAAAGTGACTATTCAATTCATTATCAAAATGTGGGATTATGAAAATACAGGGATTATCAGTCTGAAATTTAAAAGATTATGTTCTCTAAACCAAACTGCACATTTTTATTCTAAGCAGTAAACATAATTGTTATACAACATCTTTTGAAATGTCACTTATTATCAATAAAAAATTATTTCACAATACAGAAAATACAATGTATCACTCTATAACACTCCCTTTACGTGTCAACTCTAATATAAAATGTTTGAACAACAACAAAAATCGTTCAATAAATTCTAACCCTCACTGCTCTGCAGCAATAAGTGAAGTCCCAACCTGAGAACTGAGAAGATGGTGACAAAATACCAAGGACTGCATCAAACACCAACAAAGACACTTGAGTCTCTTTCCTATGCCATGATACAGTACATCAGAGACATGGAGCAAGTCCAGAAAATGCCCTGAAATTAAGAGCACCATCTGCCACTGTCCTAGTGATTTTATACAAATCCTATTGCACACTTAATATTGTTAGAATATTTGCAAACTTGTAGAATTCTCAACAGAAAGGATTTTAAGCTCATTTGGTTGAACACTCCCTCACTACCAACAAGACATTCCTAAAGAAAGGGAGAGAGCACACACACAAATGTCAGAATCTGAAGAATAAATGATTTCTTATGGAGACAGCCAATTACACTGCAAAATAAAGAGCATTCACAAAGTAAAATGTCTTGAACAAGTATGATTTCTCAGCAATCTACTACAGGAAAGTAAGCAGATCTTATTTAGGTAAGTAGAATTTGATGATAATGCATAGTATTTTATTTTTTAAGTATATGCTCAATATAACTTGTTATCATGCTTAGTCTTTCTTAAGTGAAGCTGAAACAATATAAAGCTTAGTCTCCTCCTTGATCTTTTAACATGGTTACCTTGTGCCACATTCCAGGGGAAGGGGAAAAAAAAAATCAAGCAAAAAATGTTTATGCTTCTGACTCTCTTTTTTTCCCTTCTTCTCCCAAATCACTCTCTTCTGATTGGCTACTGCTAAGGACAACAACCTGGCCCTCAATACCAGTCTGGTTTGGTCTACTGGAAGCTGCTATCAACCGACTCTGCTCCTCCAAGTCCTGGTGGAAAGATAAAAAAGAAACTAAGTTAACTGTCTGCAGTCAAATGGAAAACTACACAGTGTTCTAGACTTAGTTTTCTATGTACTTTTACTATACTTGAGAGCCACTCCAACCCTGTCACATACATAATTCTGGTAATCTGATTAAATGAAAGGCTAAGTATTTTCAGCAAATGAGACACAAGGGTGAACTTTGGTATCATATGAATAATACCATAAAAACAAACATGCAAAAAAAAGTGTGTTATTTTATCCACCCTTTCTTGTTCTATGGCTAATAATCAAGTACTGAATATTCTCATATCTCAGTATAGGCAGAGAGTAAAACTGTCCTCCACACCCCATTCCCTGCTCCTCTCCAGATTCCACTTCCCCTCAGTTAAGCTGTCCTTCTGTGCTGTCTTTGTCATTTTCTCTTCTCAGATCTTACCTATATCCAACTCACTTCCAGTTCCTACTGGTCTCTTCACATATGTATGTCCCAGTTACTTTCTCTCTTGTTTTTCTACCATCAATGCCACCACCCTTAATAGAATCACCTAATCAAGTTTTGGCTCTGAAAATTGTGTACTTTTAATTACCCTTTTGTAGGTTTAATCATTAGTACCACAAAATAAAAAAAAAAAAAAAACCACGGTGTGCTGTAGGGAAAATGGAGGAAGCTCTGAGTGAATGTTTATTACTGACGTGAGCACAGCCTTGTCAAGGACTACAGTGTCTTAAACCCACGGGAACTGGCAAAACTACCTTCTGGTCAATGCTGACAGCTTCCTCTTCCCTCTTCCAACCTCAGGAATGACTCCAACCTGAGACTGCTCCCTATAGAGCCCGACAGACTGCTCACCCTTCTGTAAGAACCCTTCATAAGAGACTCTGAGTTCTGGGGCTGTTGTGCAGTAGGAGGCACCACTCCATCAGGAAGAGAATCTCATCCCAGTTTTTCTGTGCACATGTCTGTCTTTCTTCAGTGTCTGTCCTTTCTTCATTCCCTTGTTACCCCAGTCTGGTTTCCAGGACCAACCTGTGCTAACTGCAGTATGCATGCATGTTTGTATGTATGCTTGTGTGTGTGTGTGTGTGTACATATGTGAATATGACACTCCTACTGATGCTTAATATAAGTATTTTCCCTTTCACAGTCATTGTGGCTTTCAGCAAAACAGTTAAGTCTATTACTGATATATGAAAATTCTGGCATGTTTCTTCAACAGAAAGTTATGTTCTATTTCACGGCAGCTACTATGCAATTCAGGTGTCACCCCTTTCCTACTACGCAATGAATCATCCAGTTATGAGGCAGCTGAACAAGCAGAAATGGACTTCCATTTGGAAACTGTCTGAGAGTCACAAGGATGAATTAGTCATTATCAATCTCACATAAAGGAATACCTTCTCAATCTGTTTTTGTTTGCTGAGTTCTTTCTGTTGCTTTTCTTTTACTCTCTCTATTTCTTTTTGCTTTTCTGATGCTCTACGATCCTAAAAGGGGTGGGAAATAAAATAAACATGTTAAATAGGAAGCAACTTTAAATTTTATACATTTCAACTAATGTAATCTTTGTAACTTTTCATTACTTTTATATAAGGCACACCAATAGTTTTTCCAGACAGGGTTTCTCTGTGTAGCCCTGGCTGTCCTGAAACTCACTCTGTAGACCAGGCTGGCCTTGAACTCACAGAGATCTGCCTGCTTCTGCTTTCCGAGTGCAAGGAATAAAGGTGTGCACAACCACCACCTGCCTCCAGATTCTAAATGCTATATGAGCAATAGAAACCACTGTTAATCTTGTTTAGCAAAACAGTTTTATTTATTTGCTTGTGTGAAAGAGCTTTTATTACCCTGCTTTAGCTTAGACATCCTTGGAAATTTAAGTGGCTCTGATTCTTACCAGTTCAGCGTGCAGTGCTATCTGTTTTGCCAATCCAACAGAATCACAAATCTAAAAGGAGGAAAAAGAAAGACCTCAGATACTTTTCTATCATACTATAATTTTTTATGCCCAAATGGATGACATAACTAGTTTTAAAATAATGCAAGATAACATATTAATTTAAATAAAAATTTATGTAAAAATATTTCAGCCAAAAAAAAATTCAGCATGTATTCTTTTTTTTTAAACATTTGAAAGTTGACTTTATTTTATATACTATTTTTTCTAACATTATTAATGGAAAGTTGGTCTTATTTATAATCCTCAATTTTTATTTATTTTGGGGGAGGCAACAATTTATTTTGTCAGCTGTAACATAAGTGTGTCTCCATAGAGGTTATTCATGTTTTCTTTAGAATCTTCTGAAGGAACTTCTACTGCTGGCTCTTCCCTCAAGCGTGGGCCCATCCTACTTCTCATTATATCAACTCAATACTGATAGAGGTGATTACAGAGATCTACAACCGGTCAAAGTGTGGACAATACATGACTGTAGGGTGCTCAGGTCCAATCGACTCATCTACAGCACAACCCTATACCTCAGGCTACAGGAAATCATGTAAGAGAGAATAGAAAAGACTGTAAGAATCTGAAGACCAGGACATCTGTTGCAAGATAGTGTCTTCTAGACATGACAGGGAAGATGTATCCATAAAATCTCAACAATATGGTTACCTAAAAAGACCTGGAAATAGACAATTCCTATCCCTAGATGAAAGAGCTACAGGCAACCAATAGTTGCTGAGAGTGGAAGAATTTTGTCCAGGGACAAGCCCCAATAGTTATCCAATTCTAAGTCATCAGCCCCAAACACATGCATATAAGAGCAACACTAAGGGGCTGGAGAGATGGCTCAGTGGTTAAGAGCGCTGACTGCTCTTCCAGAGGTCCTGTGTTCAATTCCCAGCAACCACATGGTGGCTCACAGTCATCCGTAATGAGATATGGTGCCCTCTTTGGCCAGCAAGCAGATAGACAGAACACTGTATACATAATAAATAAATCTTTTAAAAAATAATAAAGATAAAAGCAACACTAAATGAACTCAGTAAGGTTTATACACCCATACACACACCAATAATAATAATTAAAGTCATGAATTTTCAAGGAGGACAGACAAAGGAGAAGTTGGAAAAGGAAGAGGGAGGAGAGGAAATGAGGTAAACAGCACTCATGAATGAAGTTCTCAAAAACACAAAAAAATTTAAAATTTTACAACATCATTACTAAACTAGTAAGCCATGCAAACATGAATTTTTTGGGTGGTGATACTGACATAAATTAGTAACACCTAAAAATGACTATGGGAATGTATTATATTCCCAGGGTAAGTTAATGCGGCAAGAAAACGGAACCAGCTATCAACAGCTTACAGAACCTGACAGGCTCCACTCATCACTGGGGCTCTCTCCAGAGCAGCGTGCTTTCATCAAGCAGCTCAGATGGACTAGGCATAACCTGAGAGCTTTTTCCAAAAATTCTAGGTTAAAAGTGTGACTCTGATAGGTATGTTATAAAACAAACATTCTGAAAGCCAGGTACCTTTTCCCCCTCGTTGTTTGATTCAAATATATAGCAGACTGATGACAAACTACTCTCACTTCTTCCGCCTGATGTCCGGAGAACAAATCCAAAGAGTCGTTTATTTTCTTGGTGTGTAGCATATAAAACTACATATGGTAATGGAAACTGCCACAGAAACACCATAAATAAATATGAGATCTTCCAAATCATTATAGCAGCATTCAGATGATAAACTCTCATGCTAAATTCTAAAAATATTGTAAATAGAATCTTAAAGACAATTTTCAATTGAATAATAATTTAGTAACAAATAATACCATATTTGGGTTGGATATTACAAAAAAAATATTAAATACTAAGTCTTATTTAATAACATATTTATCAATACAAATTTAACTACAAAAATAATCTACTTAATAAATGATTAAACAAAAACATACACTTGCACCTATAAAGAAATATAGAATTATAGAATAAACTCAATTATGTTTATGTTTTGATTCCTACTGCTAATTTCCTTGGCATATAAAGTCTCTAGAGATAAAAACTATTAATCACACCAAAATGTGTTGAATCTTTAAGTTACACAGTGCTCAATAATTTTGTGGAGCTGGCACTATATGTAACTATAGCCTAAAGATCAATCTTAATTGATACTATCATACTAGGACACATAGGACCAGATTATTATCAAACTATAAAATTAATATATAAACAAAAGATACTTAAAGCTTGAATCACACAGAACTCACTGTGAGCCTTGTAACTTGGGTCTGCGGATCAATTAACCTACAATAATTAAGAATTTGGAAAACAACTTTTTAATTAGGCTGAATTAAATTATTTTTCCTGTAAGGTTTATTTTGGAGAGGTTACTACTTACTTTAAACAGTCACAAGTGACTAACAGATGTGATTCTGTCATACGGAAGATGTTGTGGATGGCCCGAGCAGCTAGGATCTGGCGCATTGTTTCATAGACAACGTCTGGATGATCATCTGACTTTACCTCCATAGAACCAAGGAATCGGACAATGAAGAGCTGATGAAGAATAGAGTCTGCAACACAACATGGTACATATGGTGGAGGGATGTGTTTTGGTTTTGGTTCTGCAGCACAACTCTCCTGCTTTAGCATCCCAGATGCTGGTACTACAAGCACATGCCATTCTACTAAAATATTTATGTATTTTTAAACCCCATAGTTCTTTCCCAAGAAAAACCATATACTGCATGGTTTTAGATTTTCCAATGAAAAATAAAACCTAAAGGAGGTATTTAGAAATAACCTTTAACACTAAAGTGTTCAAACTATAGGAAAATTAAGGCCTCAGTTTCAATCAGCAAAATATAATGTTAGTGATATGGTTTGTGGTGGTCTGAATGAAAACAGCACCCACAGGCTCACAGGGAGTGACATTATTGGAGGTATGGCCTTGTGTAGTAGTGTGGTCTTGTTGGAGGAACTGTGTCACTGGGTGGTGAGATTTGATGTTTCAGAAGCTCAAGTCAGGCCCAGTGGCTCACTCTCTCTTGATGCTGCTGCCTGCCAAACCAGATACAGAACACTAAGCTCCTTCTCCTGCACCATGTCTGCCTGCATGTTGCCATGCTTCCTGCCATGATGACAATGGACTAAACCTCTGAACTGTAAGACAACTCCAATTAAATGTTTTCCTTTATAAGAGTTGCCATGGTCATGGTGTCTTCTCACAGCAATAGAAACTTTAAGTTCCAGATAAAAAAGAATTATTTGTACTATTCCTATAACTTGACTGTAAGTTTAAATTTTTATTTAAGAAAAATAGATGCAGCCAGGTGTGATGGCACACACCTTTAATCCCAGCACTTGAGAGGCAGAGGCAAATGGATACCTGTGAGTTCCAAGACAGCCAGAGCTCTGAGACACAGAGAAACCCTGTTTCAAACCAGCCCCCTACCCAAAAGAAAAGGAAGGGAGGGAGGGAGAGAGGAAAGGAGGGAGAGGGATGGTTAGAGAAAGAAAGAAAAGAAAGAAAGAATAAATGAATGACAGCTGCTGCTGGGACTGGGAATGGTGACTCAGTGTGTTATGGGTTAAGTATTTGCAGCGTAAGTATGAGGACCTGACCTCAGATGTCTAGCACCCACATGAAAGCTGGCTGCCAGAGCAGATGAGGCAGTGGGTATCTATAACCTCAGGGCTTATGGGCTAAGGAAGGGACACAGAGAGAGAGAGAGATCTTTTGGCTAGCAAACTCCAGATTCAGTGAGGCATCATGACTCAAAAAATAGGTGAAAAAGGATAGAAGATAGCCAATGTGGACCTGTGGCCTACACAAGCACAAACACACACGCACGCACGTACACGCACACACACAAATAGAAAACCCACAGATACACAAAACATGCATACTCACAAAACATACAATAAAATCAACAACAAACCCAACTCCTGGCTGAGCATCTTGGCACATGACTGTAATCCTAGTACTTGGGAAGGAGGCAAGAGTCATCCTTGGCTACATAGTGAATTTGAAGGTAGTCTAGTTATTTGAGAACTGTCTTTTTTTTAAAAAAAAAAAATAAGGTACTGGAAAACTGAACACACCCTTCCACATATCCTTCCCCCACCCAACCCACCCAGGTCCCACATCAAGTGCCTGAATCTAGCTTGGCCACCCCAGGCTGAGCCTCAACCAACCTCTAGGATTCCACCAAGACCTACGCTGTCTACCAGCAACCTACAAGCCCCTCACACACCACATCTAACCTCTCTACCTTGCCATACCTAGCCCTACACTCCAGGCTTGGACCATAAAATACATGTTTTACACCAGCCCAGTCCACTCTGTTCACTTGAATTCCTTCCACCTAAGTCATTTCTCCGCTCTAGGCTTAACCCACCTGTACATCCTTTCTTGTGACCCAATCTGCTCTGTTCATACTAGTCAAAACTAAGAAGTCCATATGCCCAGATGTTATTGCAAGAATACAAACAATACGAAAAGAATATCGCAATGAGTTCTACCTTCAGTTTCTGACTTTGTGCCTCCTCCGGATTCTCCAAATGGATTTGTACGTCTGAAGTTTAGGAAAAAATATGAACAAATAGGTCAATCATCATGAGCCACATGGAAGAGAACAAAATTAAAAACTGAGTCATACAACTTTACATGTTTATAAAGAGAAGTTTTAGAACTCTCTGATAATGAGCAATAGGATGGCCAAAATACATGAGCATCACTCTCACACTGAGTAATAGGCCAACCTAATGGATCTGCACTGACTGATGTATCTACTGCAGTCTTCTGTTGCTGTATTTGTTTAGCAGACATAAACTTAGCCACACACAACAAAAATTCTCAAACTGTTTTCCAAAAATTTTCAAATTTAAACAAGCTAACATAAAGGAAGACTAATGTGGCAATATTACTGGAAACTTATGAAAATGCCAGGGATTTCCTAGAACTGTAAAAATCTGGATCTAGATTAAGTACAAATTGTTTAAGTTAACTATAAAGATTTGAAAACTGTCTAGTTTCCTGTTAATTGTATGTCCTACATCTGGGCCTATATAGAAGTACTACATGTGTAAGTACTAAGAGGGCTTGCCTAGGATGCACGCAAAGCCTGGGTTTGATTCCCAGCACCAAACAAAGATAAACAAAACTAAACTCTATTTCTCAAGATATAAGTAACAATGCAAGGAGAAAAGTAAACCAAAGATTAAAAACTACTTCCCCCCCCCCCATTCCTATTCTTAGCTTATGGCATAGCCACAATGATAGAAGGAAAAAGTTCAGTTCAAAGGAAGTCTTGGAAGCAGCAGTCTAAAATAATGCTGGCATTAAGAAACAGGACAGAAGCTAAGAACATGGCTCAGTCAGACATGGGTTTAACTCTCAAAACCTATGTAAAGTCAAGCAGTCAGGTGTGATGGTGCATAACTTTAATCTCAGCACTCAGGAGGCAGAGGAAGGTGAATCTTTGAGGCCAGTCTGGTTTACAGAGTAGCTCCAGGACAGCCAGGGATACACAGAGAAACCCTGTCTCAAACATCCTCCCATAGATAGATAGATAGATAGATAGATAGATAGATAGATAGATAGATA